AATTCTTCATGGGAGGTATATTGCCATAGTTGCCACGCTTGGCGAGCGGGTTGGCAACCGCAGTTTTTTTGTTGTACAGTTGCTGTTATCAGAAAGATGCTGCTGCCCATCTCCTGCCTGTTTCCCTCTGTCGCCTTTTACGACACCCACGGGAAGATATGGGGTAGTGGATATTCTTAACCGCCACTACACGGCAAATTTTTAAGTGTAGCTGTACGTAAATCTTCGTTTACAGCAGCATTCGGATTTCTGTACAATTCTTTAAATGGTTTTGGCTCTGGAAATCTTGTAGAAAAGTCTCGAATTTCTGATTCTTCATCTTTCAGTTCATCCTCATGACATAGTTGTCGACATATAACAATAATCTTTTAAATATCAATATTTGACTCAAATTCTTTTCTTTTTTTCTAAAATTTCGTTGTCGTGTTCATCGTATATAGTTGTAAAGGGCATTGCCCATTTTCGGCCATGGAACGCCCAACAATGTGCATTTGTTAAAAAAATATATCTTTATTTATGGTTATTAATCGCGGTATTCATTTATCCTAAAACAATGGGAATATTTTTGCACAAATTAAAAGTACAGAAAAGATAAGAATAAAATTAGGTAAAACAGTAATTAGTGTGTGAATAAAATAAAAAGTGTTGCCAATCACAAATCTCATTAAAAAAATCGATTCCCCTTTTCGATCGATTACTTACGGTGTCATTAATACAATGCTTACCTATATAATTTTTCGATAATTATTACGATGTTAGGATATAGGTTTAAAATAACCGTTGACAATGGATATTTATCCAAAGCTGCCGATACGCAACCGTCATTAACCAGTTGTTTATCCGACTACAGACGAAAAAGGATGGTTATGTTTTTACTGTGTGTGCGGGTTAGGCTATGTTGAATTGTCTTTTGCTATGTTGCTTAAAAAAGTAGGATGCATTTTATTATTGAGGGCGCTACTATCAAAGAATATTTTTTTCGGTAAACTCGTAAAGTACTTGACCAACTTTGAGAATTCTTTCACCACTAGATTGTTATGTATAATTTTAGATATCTAATATAGGGTTAATTTTATTATAGAGGGCGCTACTTTCAATGAATACGTTTTTTGGCTAATCTCAAAAATTACTAGGCCGATTTTGAAAATTCTTTCACCATTACATTGCTAATGAGGGCGTTAGCTGTGTGATTAATTTATATTATTACAATAATTAATTGTGAGATTAATATTTCATAAATAAATAAAACTAAATACCTACCTAAGATGTTCAAATCCAATTATTATCTTTACAATTTAAGAATCGTATTTAAACGCTTTACTTACTCAGATTGATTATTATAGATAAAAAGGTAATAAATCTAAAGTAAAAGAGCTCCGCTTAAACGAAAAAACTATTTATTAAAATAAAACTAAAAGTTGAAAAAAAGTGGTTCAGTGCGAGTCGGACTCGCAGGCCCATAGAGAGTCCTGTAGTAACAAGCATATATTTTAAATCTAGTCAAAATATCACTATCATTATCGCCAGCAACAAATTATTTTGTTTTTGATAGTGTTTGTATAAAAACCAAAGTTTTTTTTGCGGTTCTTTAAAATGTGCAACTTGTATCTAAAAAAAGGACTATTATACATTATAGGGGTTTCTGTGGTTTATTCATTACCAAAGAGAAAAAACTTATTGCACAAAATGGGTTTTTATTCATTTCAAGTCATCAAAAGCGGTAATCAACCGTTAAAAACTAAAACAACCATTGTTATAGGCTCGGTTGAATTCATTGACAACCTTCACATTTATAGTTATGATAATTAAACAAGCGAATTACTAGCATTTACCAAGAATAGTATAACAAAACGCTACTGCACAAGTTAACTGTTATTCTTATCTGTTCTTAACATAACATTTAAAATGGAATCATGTTATGATAATTCAAGAAGTTAATTTCTAGCTGATTTACCACGAATTCTCTAAAGCATAACAAAATAATACAGCACAAGTTAACTGTTCTTAAAAATGCATTTGAAATGGAATTTCAATAAATAAAGGAAACTATACTTTAAAAAGCGTGCAGAACTTAAAACGCGTCAAAGATTATTCTTTTTATGATATTATTAATCGAATAAAAATCGATATCATTTCATAGATTTTATGACAATTAAGTGGCAACATCGAATCTGACAGGTAGGCCCCTGTCATAGTGTTCCGTAATAGCTATAGCGCGTGGCGTGTACTGTACGTTAAACATCGATAGTTTGGTAATCCGATAGTATCGATAGTTTAACTAAAAACTATCGATAGTATCGATAGTCTATCGATAGTTTAAAAACTTGTAGGATTAGCGTAACATCAATAAAATAACAAATGTTATACGAAACGTAGAATTTTATTTTGATATATATATATATTCGAAATAACAATCAAACAATCAAAAATCAGTATTCATCATTATTATAGTTAGAAATCAATCATTAAAATAACAGCTATTTTGTTTTATAAACAACAATTCATTTAATCTTTTTTCTTTTAACCTATTTCTGCGTTCGGTTAAAATTTGTCCGGCCTTCGAAAATATTCGTTCTGAAGGCACAGAAGATGCTGGAATACAGAGATAGAGCATCGCTAATTCCTTCAATTTATTGTTGGTGTATTTCCAGTATGTTATAGGACACTCTTTTCTGTCAATTACTGGCTTCTCGAGATATTGCCTGACATCTACCAATGAGTTACTCAACGGGGTCGATACGTCCGGAACGTCTAGAAATCCCAACAGGTCATTAGATGTTCCTGAAGACGTGGATGGTGTTGGTTGCGTTTCTTCTACAGCCAAGCGTTCTTTAGTTAAATGGCTAGCATAGGCCTTTTCCAGCCACTGACCAGCTCGCTTCTCGTCGTCACTTGTTTTGAACCCCTTCTTCTTAAATCTGGGGTCCAATATTGTAGCAAGTACAACAGGTGTCCTGCTTTCATAGGGACTTAGTCTTTTGTCAACTGATCCCTTCATGCAGAGTAATATTTTGTTTCCGCTTTCAGTAACAATTTGAGATTCAACTTCTACTAATTTCGTTTTTATTCCACGAATCAATGGTATTATCAGTGACAATGTTATATAGCTTTCTCCGGAAATTTTTGTTGTAGCTAGATCGAAAGGTTCCAGAATTTGAATTGTTTCTTGAATAATTAGGTATTCGTCAGCATTGACTCCTGGTGGAGCCCGATTACATTCATTAAGTGCGAGAGTTAATTCTGTCTTCATTGTAACAATTCTTTGCAGCATGTGGTATGCACTGTTCCAGCGGGTGGGTACTTCCTGGATCACTTTCAGTTCTGGTTTATTTAATTCACGTTGAATAGTCCGTAATTTATCGCTAGCTAGAGTACTCATCTTGAAAAAAGTCACAATCGATTTACATTTTTTCAGAATCTGGTCTAAGCAGGTCACAGCAAACGAATCACTTACCGTCAGGTTTAGTGTGTGCGCAAAGCAGGGTATATGTCGTATATGCAGTTTGGCTGCGGCGTTAATCATTGTTTGAGCGTTATCAGTCGTTATTGCTTCACATTTTGACCTGATATCCCATTTTGAGAGAGTAGCATCCAACATCTGAAAACAATAATAATATTGTTTATGTCTGATTATAAAGAAACACTGAATTGGTAGGTATCAAGGCAATAAAATTTAAAAATACTTACACTGGCTATATTTTCTGCGTTATGACTTCCTTCCATCTTCACAACTTCCAATAATGGTGCAATTAATTTTTCGTTGTGAAAGAAATGACAAGTAACTGAAAGGATGCCTTCATTTGCAATTGATGTCCATAAGTCAGTAGTCACACTAACATGTTCTGCTTTCGATAATGCTATGACGAGCTTCTGTTTCACGTTTTCATAATATTCCGGCAGTAATTTCTTTTTCAATATTGTTGTATCAGGAATTTCATATCTACTATCGAGAGCATTTACAAAATCCCGAAATCCTTCATGTTCTCCTTTTCGCAAAGGTTCCATGTCAACAGCAGTCATGCGCACGTATTTGTTATCCAAATTTTGCTTTGTTTTCCCATCTGGATATTTACTACTTCTATCAAAATAATTTTTTAGCGTATTTCTCTTTTTTAGGGCTTGGGCCCATTTTCTCATTTTGCTCAGTGGTATCTACGTCTTGAGTAACAGAAACAGTGGATGACCACATCCATACCTCATTATGTTTTCTCTTCATATGATCGATCAAGTTCGTAGTATTTCCACTTAGTTTAAACTCTCTTTTACACAAAGAACACTTGGCAAACTTTTCATTAGTCTTTTTGAAGTAATCCCACGCACGTGACTTACTACTCATGTTTTATTGTTTAATTCTAAATTGTTTGTTACTCCACTCAACTTCAAACATCCACAATAAAAAACTGACTGACTGACTTTTGTCTTGTAAATGAATGATATACGCACGGTAATTCCCCAACCATAGAGAAAAATCTCAATGTCTACGCCTTTGAATGTATGATATACGCACGGTAATTCCCCTACCATAGAGAACAATCTCAATGTCTATACCTTTGTCACTATAGCCGGGGAATAACTTACATACATGCATACCTCGACTCTAGGGATGTAAAAGTAGTACCCGAGTAAACAATCGATCGATAGTTTTAAAAACTATCGATAGTATCGATAGCCATTTACTATCGATACCATCGATAGTCTATCGATGTTTAACGTACACTAGCTGGCGTGGCGTGGTGTCTGAAATTCCTCAAAATGGCGTCAAAATGAATTAGTAACCTTTGTAGGTTGTGTCTGGCTTGCTGTATTTTAATATTTTTGAGAATGTTTTGATAGTAGTGTATTGTGAAAACTAGTTTATTTATTGATAAAAAAGAGAATTAATTTTATTCAAGCTATAGGGAAAAGGAATGGCTTCTCGTGAAGTTTGTACAATTTGTTTAAGCGTCGATGTACGCATGTCTATACTAAAGAACTCTGACCTACAAAATTTATATAAAACATTGACGAGCAGTTTTGTAAGTTTTGTAAGTTTCTTAATTTTCTTTAAATTACAAATTGAAATTGAGATAATTTGTGTTGCCTCGTCAAAAACTTCTTTAAAGAGTGGTTATCGCAGGAGAAATATAGAGAGAAATATAGCACAAAATACCAAAGTAAAATAACAGCTGCAATCTGTTTTTGTTGTAAATTGTTCCTTCCACAAGCATTTTTAGTTTCTTTCGAGTAAATATGAGAAGTTTTTTTAATGTTAATGTTAATGGTAATGTTAGTTGTATAATAGGTTAGGTTAGTTAATAGTTGTAGGCTTAGTAGCATTGAATTTTGAAAGCACGAACTTGATAATACCTCTGTCCACCGTTACCAGATTAGACAAATGATATTATAGTGTTTCATGCTCAAATTTATAGTAATAAAAGTAAAAAAAAAATACAGTGAATTTTACAGTAGATTTCAAGAAACTTTTATTATCTTTTATAATCTAAAATACTGTTTTAATTTCACCTTTTGTAATTTAGAATAAGCATAATACCTATGTATAATTATACATTAATCTATCAGTGTCACTATCATGTAGCCCGATATCCGCTTCTTTTTTGTAGATCCCAGAATGAAATGATTTTATCATTTTCTCAGTTTGTTTAAAGTTAACGCAACTGGTGCTGTGACGCCGAATGGTTTGTTGCGCTAACATGTTGCCTCTTATTGTCCTGGTTATTAATCTATTTCGTTTCTTGGTTTTGGTGTCGTTAATTTGACTAAAAATTCTCTCGCATTCCGTATTGGAGTTAGGAAGAACCAAGATGTTGAGCATGTATTTTCCAATCAAGCGGATCGTCCAACTGTTTCACCTGAAAAGTAACATTAGTATTAAAAATATTGTATTTTGCAAATGAAAGAGATATAATTCTAAAAAAAAATATAGATTCTTAGTTACTAACCTTGTGCCAGAATTCATCAGGCTGTATTGCAGCATCGAAATTTCCTTTTAACTTTGGCAATTTTCTCCATTGGTCATCCAAAGCTTGTTGTTCTATCATAGAAGTTGGTGTCAATATTGGCATTAAGCTTAGTATATATTGAATTGATTCATCGCAATCTGAGTTATCGAGACATGTTTCAGGATTCAATTTGGATATCCCAACCAATACTGGATCATTTAGCGCGAATCTTTTGCAGATGCCTATGCACGCTTTAATCAAAAAATTTCGGCATTTCTTTTTGAAATCCTTTTTTTTCTCTGCTGCTATTTGTTGAAAACTGTTTAGATACTCCCAAGCCCAGGTAGATGTCATCCAAATTTTTGAAATTGTTTTCGTCAGTTGGGTCAATTTTTTCTAGTTCAGTGTTTGTATGTGCCATTGTCATATATGTTGATAAAAGTTCGTGAAAGAGATCGTTCATTTTAGTGTTAAGTTTTGTGATCATTGGAGTCTCACTCTGAAATAGCATATTAGTTTCAGTAAATTTAGGTAACATCCAGTTTAAAAAGAAAAAGTATGATTTTGTTATGGGATCATTCAACTGCATATGGATTTCAAAATGTTGTGTATACACAGTATGTTGTGTATATACAGTTTCTGTGAATACTTGATACTCTTTTAATAGCGATTGTCTTTTGCTACTGGTCGCAAAATAATTTTAAATATCACGTGTTAGCTTTTCACATTCAGCTGGTAACTGTTTGCTTGCGTCACTCGCACAAAGATGGGGCAACATAATTCTCGATTTTTAGCCTCATACTGGTAAGCTAATTTTAAAGTTGTTCCCACTAGATAGTGGCAATCTGTTAAGACCCGAAGTCTATGGATGTGTCGCCTAGACTCAATTTACATTGTGGAAGAATGGAATGGAAGCGAATTTTTGTAATGAAAAAATATGCCTTAGGACTGAGTTCTTGCAGTGATGATGATTCACTAGGTGGTAGAATTTTTTCCCGCCTAGTAGTCTGTGTAGTTGTCATGCTCTTACCTATTTTTGTAATGAAAAAATATGCCTTAGGACTGAGTTCTTGCAGTGATGATGATTCACTAGGTGGTAGAATTTTTTCCCGCCTAGTAGTCTGTGTAGTTGTCATGCTCTTACCTATTTTTGTAATGAAAAAATATGCCTTAGGACTGAGTTCTTGCAGTGATGATGATTCACTAGGTGGTAGAATTTTTTCCCGCCTAGTACTCTATGTAGTTGTCATGCTCTTACTTATTTTTGTAATGAAAAAATATGCCTTAGGACTGAGTTCTTGCAGTGATGATGATTCACTAGGTGGTAGAATTTTTTCCCGCCTAGTAGTCTGTGTAGTTATCATGCTCTTACCTATTTTTTCCACCAAGCAGCAGTATGTGTCCCAGCCTGAAGGACATTGAGAGCCAGTTTAATAACAGGCTGTGAAGCATTACGTCTTAGTCTATTTTAGCTTTGGCTACAAGTTCATTTCAGGTGTAGTAGCCACATACCATCAGGTGAATCATAAGTTTGTCACTTTAATCTTGATGACGATGTTGATGAAAAGAATTGTGGTAGCTAATAGATAATATTACAAACATATATATTTAAGTAGTTTTCCATATTTGTTATGCACTTTATAATTTTCAGAGGAATAAGGATGAGAGGCCGTTAATTGTCTGTTTCATCTGTCATGCAAAACTCAAGCGGTGTAGAAGATTACAACAACAGGCTATTGAGTCAAATGCAGTTCTGGAGCAGTTGCTTGCAGGAGGATCTACGGTATTATACATTCTATCCATTACAACCTATTAAAGTTAACTGCTTAACATTGGTCTAAGGTTGTGTATAGATGTCCAGTACTTGATTTTAATAATGTTTTTAGTTAAGGAGGCTTGTGTGTCTTTCCTAGAATAGTGGTGTTGGGAGTAGTGGTTCTGGGATTGGTGGTAATGGGATTAGTGCACACAATTTAGGGAGGGCGGGAGGTGCTCTTCAAACTAGGGAAGCCACATGATTTAATATGATTTAGCGGATGGTTATAAAGTAACAATTAATATCATTTATTATAATATAATGGATTTCCACAAAGTAACACCTGATTCTATCAATTATCTGAAACTAAGTTGCCTGAATTTGAGGTATATCATAATATCACTGATGGTCCCCCATAAATCAGGTTTATATTATCAAAAACATTACGAAAACATAGCCTCAAAATGAGATTTGTAAAAATTAATAAAAAAAAACACAGCACGTCCGGCAGGAGTAAGTGATGACTCTTAAACTCTCCCACCTCTTCCAACCACCCCCCACCCCCTAATATGGGTGATTTAATTTTAAACCTTACCCTAAACTTTTCGTCTTAATTATAAATAGAATTTGGTTTCAGTCAATACCAAAACCGCATGATGCTAGAGATGAGATTAAATTCACACCAGTTTATCAAGTAGATATATGGCCAGTAGAGTGTGATATGAAAAATGATTGTCAGGACAAAAATTTTAACCTTGAATCTGTCAAAGTTGAGGAAGACAATTTAGAAAATAAGAATTCTAAATTTGAAGAAAATGGGAATCTTCAAACAGGTAAGGATATACACATTCTGTGATATTGCTCAAATTACCATTACTATTTTACTTTATTTAATGACTAGTGGTTACTGTAGGACTGTAGCCCATGGACACAAAATAAAGAGGGACCAGTCTTCCACCTAGTTGTTTAATTATTATTTGTAACTGTAATTTAGTTGTATAAGTTCTTAGTTTATTGTAATGTAGTGATCATATCATGTGGGAGAACCAAAATGAGTGAATGAATGAATGAGTACCAAAAGGTTTCATGTGCAATGTACTGATTTACTAATTTGCCTTTGCCTAAATTCAAAGTGCTTGTAAAAAGCACTCTTATAGAGAAGATGCATGGAATGAATACTTAAATCATATTCTCTAGACATTTTTTTACTTATGTATTGTATTAAAAATTAAAGATCCAGTATAAATGCAGTCAGTGTGTATGTCACTAAGATTTATAATTTCACAGGAATTAATGATATACTTAGAACTGGTTAGCAACCACCTACCTTTGCCAATTTCTTAGTGTCATTACTTAGTGGTGGGACTTGCCTAGGAGTCAATCTAGGTCCACATGGAGTCCTCCTTCGTCATCTTACCTATTTCTGCCGTCCAAAAGCGATGTATGTACTGCTGTGTTCCAGCCTGAAGAGTATAGAGTTAGTATAAATACAGGCTGTGGGGCATTCCATCTTAGTTGTCAGAGGTGACAGTGCATTGTAGCTGTTTGTTTGAAGTTAGCTGCAGCAGGCCTCCGTTACTCGCTCTAGGCCACGCGTTATATGCCTACCGCTCTGCGTATCGTCCACGATACAACCGACATTAGGCTGCCGCAAGCACCGTTTCCCGCGCTTACTCGTCGAAATGCCAGAATCATGTAATTATTGTGCAGTGGATGGGTGTAAAAGTAAAAAAAAAACAAGTAAAAATTGTCTTTTTTTGCGTTGACTTATGTATTAAAGTATTTATTACATAAGTGATGCAAAAAAACATAACTGCACTAGCTTCAATGCTTTGTTACAGGAGAACTCTAATGTTGACGAAACAACACTGTGTACTCATTTCAAAGCTTATAATAAAGATTCATCTTTTTATGGTGGGTTAAAATTCCCACCAGAACCATTTAATAATTATATTGAAGAATTAGAAAGATCATTCTCAAATAATATAAAATAATTTTGAAAACGTCATAATGAACCGGCCTGGCAGCACCGTGTTGCAGATTTTACAAACCATTGTTTTTCCTCTGCTTTGGTCCTGTTTTCCTCATGATTATTTATTATAATTATTTACGCGATTTAGGCAACTTCAACGATAAAATTTAATAACCGAGAATTCAGAGAAGGAAAAAATGTATAAATCATTTTATAAAACTCAAACATATTTAATTGACAAATAAAAAATATTGTTAGTATGTATTTCGCAACATTCGTTTTATTACAATTTGATCGAAGACAATAATCATCATAGGTACAACCTTGGTACAACCCTAGCGCATTCGTGCGATGACGTGCTTGCACGTGAGTTGCACGGCGGGAAACACAATCTCGACTCTTGGTGCGCGTACTTACGGTACATTTTCTTCTCGATGCGAGCAGCAGATATTATTATTAAGATTTTGTAGGCTATTATAGCGTAGGTATTTTCGCATTTGTATGGGAGTGATGTATCTGTTGGTAAACTATTTATTAATCTGTGGCTGCAGGCAGTTCACGGACTGCAGTACCCACTTACCATCAGGTGGCTTGGCTGCATACCATAAGATGGACTGCTAGTTTGTTTGTCACTTCATGCTAAAAAAATTGGAGAAAAGGTACTCGAGGTATCCTTGTACTGGCAAGCAATTACCTTCTAAAAATAAGTTGTGGCAGAACACTCCAAAATGAGGTTAATGAATAATCATCATGATTTGCAAGTCCACTGCTGAATATGGGCCACTCCAAGTAATGCCAATAAACATGGGCCTGAGCTACCTGCATCCAATGTCTTCCTGCATATCTTATAGTTATTGTAGTGCCTCTGCCATGTTCGTCGAGGCACACACGGATGGCTTTCATGCCATAATATGTAAAAGACAAAGACATTACTGAATCGACTATGTACCTCTACCAACTGCATCCTGAATACTCTTGCTGATAGGTGGGATTCTGCCATTATGAAGCACTGGTTGAGCCTACATATAAAATTGAATAAAAGTAAATAAATAAGATGTTTGTAACATAGGAGCGATATTTAATTTGTTAAGTATAAAAAAAAAGTTAAATACATTAGTTTTAAGTAGTTATTGTTCTACTAACATCTTTATGGACAAAGGCTGAAATAAAATATTATTATTATTATTATCAGGTTGTCACTCCATCTAGTGTGGAACTGCCATATACTTCCTGTCAGTTCTTTGAGCTATGTTGCCAGCCCATTTCCACTTCAGCTTATTACACTTAGCTTATGATACATGCAGTGTAGTAATGAAAGAGGATGGCTCAGGACCGTATGCTGTGGGATGGACTGTAATGATCCAGTTGCTTGGAAAAAATCTGTTTTTATTTTATATATTGACTCAAATTGGTTTCATTCTAGTGACTGATGGAAAAGCAGAAGACTTGGAGATTGATGCTTTTGGAGATATACAGATGGATTCGGAGGACGACTTGCCACTAATCGCAATTAGTTCAAAGAAGAAACAGAAATCTAAGGCCGTTAAATTTAAAAAGAAGCGCAAAAATAATAAAAAAGATGACAATGACATAGGTAAAAGAATTTATTTTAAAAAACCTGCATCAAAAAATGGTAGTTGGAGATAACACTGTACATACAAAATTTTGTTCTTTAATAACAAGTAAATAATAATCAAACAACATGCCCTCATGCATATAAAGTTGTTGGTTGTATGCCTGATCTCTCCAGTCGTGTTGGATAACTGTCCCGTTGGACTATGAGAGATTGTGAATAGAGAGTGCACCTGTGTTTGTGCTGCACTCGAGCGCAATAATCCTGTCCTTCCCATATGGCTAGTATCCCTTGACAGCCACCATAACCTTAATTGTCATTATATTAATGTTCTCCAAGCATCAATCTCAAGGATCATTTTCACTGCAGCTACATGATAGTGGTGCGTGAATGGGTCGGCTTGACCAGGGGAGGACCACATTCTCACAGAATACCAGCGTGAATTAGCAGCTTAATGCTGCTGTGTTTCAAGTAGTGAGTGTAGAGAACTGGACATCTGTATTTTCTTTTTTATTCCAAGATAGATGTAGATGTAGACATCTTACCACACACACAGCACACAGGGCCACAGCGTCCACTTGGACTGTGTGCTCGTTTGACATCCTTATTCTATAAGAAAAAAATAATATGAGAGTATCTAGATGTTATGATATCCAGAAGTTAATCTATTTGATGTGTAACATCTTTTCTCTCGCTTTACTGCAATCTGTGGGAGTGATTTTTAGAAAACAGAAATAGAAACCACTTGATTTGACCAAAGAGCGTGCACTGGTAGTGGTATTGTGTTGTTATATAAACAAATTTATATATGTAAACTATTAATAAATGTATTTACTGTCTGGAAAAAGTGCAGAACATAAATAAAAGACAAGTTAATAAGTAATGAATAATTGTTTCAATAAATATTTCAGTATTTGGCTTTTATAAATTTTGAGGGTTTATTTCTGTTGCTGCCCAATAGATTTTTTTTTTGATTAAAAATACAAATAGCTTTTTTTACTAAATAATGTGGAGGTGGGTAGTGTATCATCTTTGCGATTTGAATATCTGCATCTCGATCACTGAAATGTTTCGAAACACTGATATGTTTGATTTGGCTCATTTGGATCATCGACTCAAAAGATATAAAATACCGAAGATTACGAATACATTAAGTTGCGTCGCGGGCACTTATTACTGACGTGAGTCAGTGAAATATTATGTGGCAACAATGCTGAATGATATAAGTGCTTAGGTTACGTATGGTATATTTACCATAATAAGATTATTTCTAAAATCGATCCTCCTTCATACTTTATTCAGGCTTAGCTAATTTATCTCCAGTTGACGTATTTAAAAATCGATTCTATTTACAGTGATTTGTTGATAATATCTACAGTTTTTTTTATGGTTTTATTTAAATTGTAATTTAAACAGAAGTCAGTTTTAGTAAACAGGCGCCAATGAACATAAACAATTTGACAAGAGCCCCATCAACATAAAATCACAACTTGTTAATGGAAACATTACATGCAAAAACGACCGTATAGATAGTATTTGATACGTAATTGAACCGCCTTTGAGGTTATTTTTACGTACATGAATAACGATAGTGAAAATCGGTACATTTTGATACACTTCTCATTTGTTATCTCTTTCTGACTTATATAGATTGTAATTAGTTCGCCCGCTCAGTCGCCACTCGCGAGACAATAGTTAATCTACTCAGTGTCTCAGTCTGTCTCTGTCGCTCGCGGTTCAGTCGCCTCGCGAGCGACGCGTCGCTCGAAATGAGCACAGAACAAATTAATGTTTCAGATCCAAATGATGCATTTGAAACATTACTGAACCAATCTTATGAATCACTTCAGTGATTCGGATCAGTGAGTCGGTTCTGTAAAGAGTTACACCCACCTAATATAATATTAATGTTGCTTATTACCAAGGTGAGATGCCAGATATTACACATGTGACTACTGTAAGGCTCGCTCGTATTTTTTTCTAACTGCTTGTCAAGCTCAATCACCCAATTACCCAAGTACTTAAAACAAATTAGGGACAAAATATGAAGTCTGTCCCCATTTCCAAGAAGGCTGGTAAGACTTTTCCTGCTTTGAATCCCTACCCAAAATGAGAGGTCGGTTTCAGCAGTTGGACGTGTACTGTTACATAACTTCATTTTACCACGTTTCTATTAAATCAATTTCTTGTGATGATGAGCTAGACTTGAAATTCTGTACATAGCACAGAATTGGATGAAATTATAGGAATATGAAATGTGGTGTATTCAATTTTTTAGTACAAAATTAAAAAAAATCATTCGTTTTTAGATATTGAAGCCATTGCTAATGAAATCATACTAACAGTAGAGGAGCAGAGGCAAGAGATACTGGATAGAGCAAGCTCGGAGAATTATTTGAACGCCATGTATAAATGTGAGAAGTGCTACAAGGGATTTGTCCACCCTCGTGCCTTCAGCAACCACATGAACAGGCATGACCAGGTAAGTGCATTGTTTTTGATGTATTTTTGTTGTATAAAGATATCCTGACCGACTTTCGATAATGACAACTTTCAATGGTATTATCTTGATAGAGATGTAGAGAGCAAATGGATTACACTTATTGTTTTATATTACTAATTTTTTCCCGTGATATTGCTCACTTGGCCTTCGCCTTAAATTTAATAATTTTAATTTGCAAAAGTTTTAGAAATAATCCAGATAACAATTGAGTACTAGGTATAGAAAATGATTCGAGGGATTTTAATATATAATGCAATGTATACACAACATAAACACACATAAACACAGAAATACATATTATTCTACGGTAGGTCTTTCATAATATCTAAAATTTACAACCATGTTCAGCATACAAATATTTTTACAGGCATTTTTCGAAAAATAAAAATATTTTTGTGATTGGAAATGTTTTTTTCAACAATATGGCCCTTATATTGTGGTTACGTCACAATAATTCTGCCAGTCCAGTGCCAATGTCCAGTCTTTGGTCTGTCACACCATCTTGTCAAGGCTTCTCGGTGGGAGAGGAGTTGGCTGTTTTTAGGTGTAATACATAATTAAGCGACAGTAGCCTAATGGCAGGGCGTGGACCGCGAACTCAAAAAGGTCGTGGGTTCGAATCCGCCATTAGACTACTGGCGTGAATCACTCGTAACACAAGCAATTTAAGCTTACCACAAGTTGTTAGGGGGAATATTAGTAATGTTAATAGCAGTTAATATTTTTTTTTAAAACCATTAAAAAAAACAACTCAATACAGGACTTAAGGACAACATAATGTAGACCAAACATCTAGTTATATAGGAGGGGAGCAGCCTGGGCAGGGAATAGGAATTAGATTAAACTAAAGTTAGAACACAATAATTATAGTTTAATATTATACATTTGAATATATTTTGAGATCATATTAACATGTATGAAATCAGGGATATTTAAGAGGGTATTAACATTCAACGGTTGAGGGATTGTTTTGGGAAGGATGATTGGCTGATTTTGACAATTGAAAAAAAGGTGATCTAGAGTACCTCCTTCATCCAGACCACATTCACAGAGGGAATGATTTTTGGTTTTATCGTTGCAAAATTATTATTAAATTAAAGTGTAACACTTATTGTATGACAATTGATACGTACAATATGATGTAAAACGATGTAGTGGTGATATAACTATATCCACTACCCCATATTGTTCAGTGTCGTAAGGGCCAGTAGAACAAGGGCAATCTATCAGAAAGGTCTATGTTCAGCAGTGACTTATAAGCTGTATTGAATGGATGGATAGCTATTGTATTAGTGGCGGTATATTCATAAAATTACAGCCTGTGTATGTCCTACTGCTGGGCACGGACCTCTCATTACTGAGAGTGTTTTGGGGCAAGGAAATATCCGTCGCGCTGCCCCAATGCGTGTTAGCGTTTTTTACATGTCTTCGAAATATTTTTTTTCCTATTTCTCAGACAAGCAAGTTTCCTCACGATGTTTCCCTTCATTCATTTTTGCTGATTTCATTGTTGCTAGCGATGATCGAGTTCGATCCTATCCTGCTTGCTTGCGTACCGAGAAATTTACGAGCGCTTTGCCCTGAGCTCTACTGTGAAATGTAAACTGAGGGATAATATTTATATTTTTTACGCGCTTAATATTTTAATTACTTCAAACATCATAAGAATAAACTTGTCAATGACATGCAAACGCAACAAATCGAGGCACACTCAACTGTTTCGCTAGCACTAATCGGGCTTTACAAATGTATATACCTGCATTTTTTATATTATTTTTTTTATAGAATAACAGTGACAAACAAGGACACAGTGTATCTGATGGCAAGTGGATGCTTTGGCCTATAAACATCCACATTATCTTCAGTTAAGAAACAAAATGTAATTTGTTGTCACCCCTGAGGACTAGATAGAATGCCTCGTTTCTAATAAAAAAGGTCTCCGGTTCTCTACACTCAGCATACGAAAAAAACCCTCAATATTAGGGATATTGAGGGTTTTTTTTGTTATAGAAGAGGGGGCAAATGAGCATATGGTTCACCTGATGGTGAACCGTATGCTCGTGTGGTGCTATTTATGTTGGTGTTTTTTATTATAGCACAGGGTGACAAACGAGCACACAATCCACTTGATGGTAAGTGGTTTCTGTGGTCCATTGACATATACATCTATCCTCAATTACAAATCAAAATGCAGCTGCGTTGTCACCCGTGAGGACTACGATGGAATGCCTCATTTCCAATAAAAGGGGTCTCCAGTTCTCTACAGTCACCATACGAAACACAGCAGCATTAAGCTACTATTTTACACTGGTATTTTGTGAGAGCGTGGTCCTTCCCCGATTGCGCCGACCTATTCGTGCTACAACTATACTACTAATATATCTGCAGCATGGCTCTACCATGTATAATTCTGTGAGAAAACCGACTCATTCTGCTACAACCATAATATATAGCTCCAGTATGGGTCTACATGTATAAAAAGTTTTTGTTACAGTGTATGTATATTGTTTACCAAATTAAGTTGTTCGCCAGGATGTGATGCATCCACATTTCCTTACCAAATTCGTCACCAGCCCATGAAAAGTCAAGGTGATTGGAACTCTCGAATATGGGAACAAGACTTCGAAGATTCATAATAAAGTAAGCACTCCACTCCAATGACGACTGGCTTAACTGGTATGTCATATCAAGACAAATTAGTGTTACATTTTTATTGGATTAGCATCAAATGGATATAGCTCACATTCAACAAACCATTGCAGATGATATCTATGGCAATGTGGTTGAATGTTGCCTCTAAATGAGTGCAAATAAAGCTTTGGTAACACATCAATTGGCTGTCTTTAGTTTCCAGTTGCATAATATGAGTCGGGTTTGACTGCCTCATACTGGTGGTTGTAAAACGCGGCTGTTGATCATGAGATTCATGTATCGAATCCTGGGTTGGACCAAAGAAAATATGCAGTAATTTAGTTTGTATGTCATGAAATGCTCATTACCTGCCTGGAGTCAGGAAGTTAGCGGTATTTCACCCCCGTTCCTCGAAACACACGTAAAACTATTGGTCCTGCGCCTGATCGCGATCCTGTCGTGTCGGCTTGCCGTCCCATCGGACATGAGATTGAGGCAATACAGTGCAGCTGTGCTTACACATACACTCGTGCAATGTAATCCTGTCGGGCGCAGACTAGCTTCCGTAGAGGATGGCCGCCGTGACCAAAATTTGGTTAGCGATTATAGAATTTTTTTTAAATTAAAAAATATTAACAATGAAAGAAAGAGCTTAAATTGCTTGTGTTACGAGTGATTCACGTCAGTAGTCGAGTTTGCGGTCCGCGCCCTGCCATTAGGCTACTGTCGCTTTCCAACATTAATGCACACTTGAGACACTTCTTGATTTATGTGCAATTTGTGGTCAACTATATCATAATCGCAGTGTACTCACAGTTTGTACTTTTTGAAGCAACCTCAAGTCGAAACTGCTTTGTTTTGCATAGAGCATTGATGCGAGTTTGCCGGAGGTAGTAGTTGTGTGGCCAGCGATCCTATGTGATGATCGTATTAAATTTCATTTTTTTAAATTTTAAATTTCGAAAAACAAATGCCAAGTTTTGTGGTAAATAAGTACACCAATAATTATATTGTAAATTTTTTTGTAGGATAGGGTTTCAAACGAGCACACAGTCCACCTGATGGTAAGTGGTTGCTGTGGCCCATAGACATCTACATTTATCTTCGATTACGAATCAAAATGCAGATGCGTTTTCACCCGTGAGGCCTAAGATATAATGCTGGGTTTCCAGTAAAAAGGATCTCCGGTTCTCTACACTCACTATACAAAACATAGCAGCATCAAGCTACCATTTCACGCTGGTATTCTGTGAGAGCGTAGTCCTTCCCCGAGCGAGCTGGGGGTTCGTGCTACAACTATACTACTAATATAACTGCAGCATGGCTCTACCACGTAAAAAAAAATGCTCGCTAGACCCTAATATGTCTAGTTTAGAAATCAATATATAAATAAATTTTGTGTCCTAAAATACATATTCGATACATTTTATGACTTCGTCACTATTGACAATAAAGAACAGCAATTTGCTCTTTCAAATGTAATTATAGTTAACATGAAACTTAATGAGGGGACAAACTACAAAACGATCATCATAGCGTGCCGGTACTATAAAGTTGTGGCTAGGTTTATTGATTCTGAATGACGTAATGTTACTTCTTGGCGAATCTTTAAAAGCTAGAAAACCATTTTCTGCAATTCTTGTATTTTTAAATGGATTATAACGTTCGGCTTGTTCTATTATACTATTAACTGTTTCTACAACCATTTGTTTATTAACTGGAAATCCCTTTTCGCCAATCGTATTATCCGTGATTTTAGCGAGAATGTTTTTGAAATGTTGCATAAATTCGTACTTTATTACACTCTATTTTTCTAATTAAAGATTTTGTGTAATTTAAAAATTTCATACTATCTTGGCATAGTTTTTGATGCGGAGAGTTATTCTTGACCCCTCTACTATATTTTTCCGTTAGGAATGTATATAAAGTTTCAGCATTTAATATAATTTGTCAGTAAATAACACAAATAGTGTTAAATTTCTGCATTTCTCTGACAGGTCTCCACTTTTCGTCAAATGCTCTGTACCATTAACAACAGTGTGACTGGTAGTTTGTGCTGCTATTGTTACTTTCAACTTCTTAATTTTCTCAGTTTTTGTGCTCCTCTGTCAATTTATAAAGTAATCATGGAAGAAAAAACCCGGCGGGAGTATTGTAACAGAAGATGATATCGAGTATGTGGTAGGGTATGATATGCCCAGCTAAAAAAATGACTGTATATTCTTGTTTTTAGCGTAAATGCATCAGGTTATTATTCTTTATTGTAGTAAAGATCAACTTTGTGCAGATCAAATAAAACAACTATCATTTTTAATATATTTTAATTGTTTTTATCGCTTAAGTTAAGGCACTAATATTTGGTTACAAAAATCACAGCGCTCATTGTAATGACTTAATTATCATAGCTATAGTACTAAAAAAAAAATCTAAAACATAAAGAACATGAGATCTTACATGAATTACAAATATAAAAATTAAAAGTATCATTTAGGAACAGCTTAAGAACTAGATGCAAAATAAGTACAGTCTTTGCAGAAAAAATTGCATGTTCGAAACATATGGCTTTTCCACAGCTTGTACAAGAGTATTCAGTTTTTCGATCTTTGACTCGTGAACAGTCAGCACAACGAACATAACGTCCCGGAGCATTCTGTACTGGGCGCAATGGTTCATTGATTTTAGAAGAGATTCTGTGACATATGTGGGTAGGTATATTCTTTTGGTCTGCTCACTGTCGCAAATGCGCGTAAACTAAACTGGACTAAGTTTTGGAAGAATTCTGTTCTTTTGGTGTTTTTATTTTCATTTTCTTGAAATATTATGTATGCATTTATAGCAGCCATGTTCAGAATTCAATAAGACCGTTATTGGCCAGTGCTTACTATTACGGGACGCATCATATGTTTGCGCTCAGTTCGTCGACATCTACACCTGACTTTGTGGAGTTGTAAAATGTAATAATATCTGGTTTCTTCTTATCTCCGGTGTTCTCATCAATCTTATTGTCATGGTGGAGGGTGGACATTGCAATTACAACTTTTTTTTTTGGGAGCGTACAAGACCAAAGTAATGTCCTTCTGGAAACCAAACATTGAAGTTCCCGGCTCTTTTCCTGTCTTCAAAAATGAAGTCGGAATGCATCTCTTATTTTTGCTAACAGTTCCAGTTGAAGTCAGCCTATGCTCATTCAATAGATGCATCATCAATTCGTGACTTGTAAACCAGTTGTCAAAAGTCATATTGCGCTTTGACTTTGATATGGGAGTAATCAGTCTTTCAACAACAGCAAAAGCGCTTTTATTGAGAGCATACGGTCCTGCAGGCTGCTTCCCCGCATAAACTTCTAAATTGTAAATGTAGAAACTCTTAGCATCTACAAGTGCCAAAATTTTTATGCCGTAGGTACTTGACGGGTTTGCTAGGTATAATATACACGCGATACGGGCAACGTCCTCTAAACGCCAACAGCATCTCATCAATTGCCATGTACTCATGTGGTACGTAGGCTTCATAGCAGCATCGAACAAAGTGGTCGAAGAGCGTTCTGATATGAGTATTTTGGTCGACTTTTCTTCGTTCTTCCCTCGAAATTTTGTCGTCAAACCGAATACAATATTGTAAAAAATAAAATCGTTGCAGTGACATCGTTGTTCGAAATATGTCGACACTTGTTCCGTCAGTTCTCCACAAGTCTTTGAGACTTTGTCGGCTTGATTTATTCAAACCAGCAATGTACAGCAAATCAATAAACGCAATCAAGTCACTTAACATTAGGTGAGCCGCATGCTCGTTTGCCCCTTCTTCTATAAAAAAAAATCAATTTCAGTACATGTAGTTTCCTTCATGTAATACAAATGGATAGGTTTTTTGCAATTTGCCTGTCGTCTCAAAATTTCTTCGTTGGTATGTATCAGTATAGTGCTCTTCATTTCGTCAGTAAAAAAATTTGCCAATATTCCGATTTAGTTTTGGCTTCTTTTGCTGATCCCTTGATGCCAGGACACTCGTCAATTATGTTTTCTGACCGAGTTCGTATATTTGTACGTGGTACTTGCTTTTACCATGTTTGACCATCTTTGGACTTGTAATGAGGCGCATGAACTTGGGCAGCTGAGCAGCGTGACCTCAGAGATGCAAGAGGGGTATTTTCATCCGATGAATCACTGTCACTTGCCACTTGATAGTCATTGACCTCCAGCTCTGTATCAGATTCCAAATTGTGTTCGCTGCAATGATGAGAGTCTTCTGTCAAGCTTGCTTCATCCGAAGAATTTTCTAATACGTCGTGCAACATACATCTCAGTCTTCTTTCACCACTTTCCTCTGCCATTTTGGTCAAAATTCTGAAAAGAAGACGAAAATTAAATTAATAAATAGAAATAACATTAACATTTTTTTTGCAATCCAATTGTTTCAGATGCTATTTATTATGTGTAATAAGGGGATGATAAGTTTTGAATTCACTTCAAACAACTCGTGACTTCACTCCTTCCCACTCCTTAAATGTTTGGCTCTGGTTTCTTCAACCAGACTATATAATATTGTACAAACGTACGATGCAACCTAGTAACATTCATTTTATTAATATTTTTTATAATTACAATAGTATGTGGATATTCTATCAAAACATGAAAACGATAAAGATTGCTGCTGCAATTCTGAAGTAATCAAACATGATTGTCAAGGCTGTATTGTTTCATTTCGCAACAACCGAAACTGTCTTTTGAACCTGCCGTTGGTCATTTCAACCACCTAAGGACAGATCGTGAACGGTCTGAATTTGTGCCTTATACGTGGTTAATAAAGTTTCATTTGGAAACTTCGTGTCTGACATGTGTGGTATGTCCGCAAGAATCGAGATTTTCCTCTGAATCACGAAAATCAATATATAATAAAAATGTCTACACTCTTATAAAACCAATGAAAAGTAGTGTCCACATGGGTAATCATGTCATTTATCATTTCTGTGTGAAGGAGGCATTTCCAATGAACTATAATGAGTCTATGTTGTTAAAGTCGAACATTGTGAGTAAGCCAGCATGCTTGAGAAATATTCCGAGGACCTAATAAAATATCTGTAAAAAATCTGTAAGCCGAATAATTTTTTTATTTTTTTACCCGATGAAATAAACTCTAGTTTCATGACTTAAAATCTCGTTATTTCAAAAAGGGTCATATTGTATAGTCCTCCGACATTCACTAGAAAAAGGTAGGCCCGAGCCAAGATGTGGGATGCTATAGACTGCAACTCTAACTTTTGTTACTTATTGTTTTTTCCACGGCATCAGGCTAATGTGGTCGGATATTTCTTTCTCTCCCTCTCAGTAGGGATAACGAGAACATTAAAAAAAGAATGGTATGAGAAGGTAATTTCTATATTTGTGGTAGCTGTAAGTCTTGGTTGAAAAATACTTTCCGCTCATATGAAAGAAAGAAAGAAAGAAAAAATATTTGTACAAGGCAGAAACAATCAAAACAAAAAAAAAAAGTTACAATTTATGAACAACCAAACCGCCTGTTAAAATTAGGAAAAAAAATTATACATAATATATATTCTTAAAACTATTCTACTGCCTCAGGGTGATGCCAAAAGATAGGAACCAATTCAGCATGATGTCAGGTTGGAAACCTAACGCTGATTTTCTATTGGCCCCCTAAATTGCATTCGTCTTCACCTCTAAAACCAGTTACCGTGTACTTCCGAAAGAACAATCACTATACGTGAACTCTATGAAAAAAACATATATAATTGCTTATATAATAAACAATTAATAAAATATGTATATAATATATGACAGGATACTAATTAAATACTTTATTATTAGCAAGATACTGCGCGTGAAACTGTAACAACATAATAACATCAGCAAAAAAATAAAAAATAAAATAAATTAAAATAAAATATAGAACATAAAATGTACCTATCAAATAAACATCAGATAGGATATGTTGGCATTAGTGTTAACCATGCCTAGGTCTTTTTGTGCATTGAACAAGTACTGTTTTAGGTGACTTTTAAAGGTAGTTATAGAGCTTAGCTGCCTAAGAGCTATACTACACGGGCGATTCTCACGCCGCGGGAATCCGCTCGACAAAGCTCCCGCAAACCAGCAAACTACACGGAACGCTGTTTACTGCTGTTTTGCGTTCATTTTAACATGGATCCGCCAATGATAACCGCGCTTGCAACCCTTATATTATTAGAATTATTAAAAAATAAAGTAACCGCAATGTTTGGGTGGAACCAGTGTTAAGTAACCGTTTAACTTCGGGAATATTTCATTCAATGTTTAGTGCACACCGTGATAACCCTCATAAGTTTTTCTCTTACTATAGAATGTCTGTGAACTCATTTGATGAACTTCTATCAATTATAAGCCAACGTATTAAGAAACAGGATACAAATATGCGAAGATCCATCACACCTGCGGAACGTTTGGCTGTAATTCTCAGGTAAATAAAATATCATTATTTTATTATGTAATCTTTTTTATTAGGGTAAGTAATGCAGAACATTAAAATAATCATCATTTTCCGTTGATGTGTCCTACCCAGTATCGTTTTGTGGCGATGCGACACTAGTCATTGGAGTTAATGTGTCCTCGTGATATGCTCTAGACCCAGAACTCGCAGATGGCTCCTGGTTCCTATGGTAAAGAAACTCAGACAAGTTGCTAGGAATACTGCGGTTTCTTTCTTTTCTTTGTATATTTCTGAATAAATTCGTAATTTCATATCTAGTTTCCATAGCCAAATCAGGAGTCATGGAATCCATAATGGGTACAAAGGACGTAAGAAATGCTCGATTTCCTTTTGCGTCACTATCGTTATTTAACTTTTGTAATTGTAAACTTTCATTCAAAATTTTTGTTATTTGCGGTATTTGGGTACTTTCCATTTGTTTCTTTCTTTTGGTAGGAACTCGGTTTTGTCGCGGTGGTCTCATCAAATTATCTTCTTCAAAATCCTGATTTTGTGATGAATTGGAATGTATTGGAGATACGTTGGACTCACGTTCTTCTGCAATACTGACGCTAGGGCGTAAAAGGACAACAACTCATAATAAATATATCGTTTCTTTTTTGGAGCTGATTGTCCCGACAATGTGGTAGTTTCTAAATTTACTTTTTTTTATAACTATCTCTTATATTCTTCCACTTCTTCATTAGGTCCTTTACTGCAAAAAAGAAATGTATTATTAATATGGCATTTATTTATTTTTCAGATATTTGGCTTCGGGAGCAACTTCCACTGATTTGGAGTACGATTTTCAAATTTCTCGTAAAAACTATACCATTCATTGTAAAAGAAACCTGTCAAGCTATTAGTCAAGAATTAGCACCTTTAGAGATGCCAAAACCAAATAAGGAAAATGGATAAACATTGCTGAGAAATTTTACAAAGAAGCGAACTTTCCTAATTGCGTTGGAGCCATTGACGGCAAACATATTAGAATTGTTTGCCCTCCGAATGCTGGATCTAAATATTATAATTATAAAAAATATCATTCGATTATTTTATTGGCAGTGGTTGACGCAGACTACTGTTTTACATTCATTGACATTGGTGCTCCAGGTCGAGAAAGTGACTCTTCAATTTTTAAAAGTTCAAATTTCGGGCAAAAGTTAACTCGTTCTCAATTGGATTTACCGGAGCCAATTCATCTTCCTAACAATATAGGAAATCCTCGTGTGCCTTTTGTATTTGTAGGTGATGCTGCATTCGGATTAAATAAAAATGTTATGAGACCATTTTCTTTACGAAACATAGACATGTTGCATATCCGTAACATTCATTGCTATGCAGATGACAGCACTGGTGATGCTCTTTACACCGGCCGAGCCAATATTTCTCGGGAAAACGTCTCCGAGTGCCGGGACAAACTTGTGTCTGAAGTCGAGTCTCTGCTGGACAGAGTCTCGGATTGGGGGCGACTAAATCTAGTCCAGTTTAACCCCCAGAAGACACAAGTTTGCGCGTTAACCGCTAAAAAGAACCCCTTTGTCGTATCCCCTCAGTTTCAAGGCACTCCCCTTGTTGCCTCAGCCAGTATCGGAATCCTCGGCGTCGACATATCGAGTGACGTGCAGTTTCGTGGTCACTTGGAAGGGAAGGCCAAATTGGCCTCTAAAAAGCTTGGCGTGCTCAGCAGAGCGGGACAGTATTTCATGCCGGCACACCGCCTGCAACTTTATAAGGCGCAGGTTCGGCCGCACATGGAATACTGTTCCCATCTCTGGGCTGGGGCTCCCCAGTACCAGCTTCTTCCACTTGACCGCATCCAGCGCAGAGCGGCTCGAATCGTCGACGACCGAGTGCTTTCCGATCGGCTCGATTCACTGGCGTTGCGAAGAGATGTTGCATCTCTTTGCGTATTTTATCGCATCTATCACGGGGAGTTCTCTGAGGAATTGTTCGGATTAATCCCAGCCGCCAAATTTCGTGAACGCACTACACGTCAAACGTCCCGATACCATCCACACCATCTGGATGCTTGGCGGTCCACCACTGTACGTTTCACAAGGAGTTTTCTTCCACGTACAACCTCTCTGTGGAATAGTTTACCACCGGCGATTTTTCCGGACCGATACGACCTGGGGACCTTCAAGAAAAGAGCTTACTCCTTTCTAAAGGGCCGGCAACGCACCCGCAATTCTCCTGGTGTTGCGGTTGATCATGGGCGGCGGTAGTCACTTAACATCAGGTGAGCCGCATGCTCGTTTGCCCCTTCTTCTATAAAAAAAAAACGAAACATAGACACGCCTAAGAAAACTTTTAACTATAGACTGTCTAGAGCCCGCCGCTTTGTGGAATGTGCATTTGGTATCCTTAGTAACAAGTGGCGAATTTTTCATTCAGCGAAGCATTATAATCAATCCACAGAGTGAAAAATACATTATAAAAGCTGCTTGTGTATTACACAATTTCGTAAGACGCAGAGATGGTTATCAATTTGAAGATACGATTCGATGTGATATGGAAGAATTCGACGAAGTCCAGGCAGTTGGAGGCCGATCTAGTGGCATTTCAGTAAGAGATTCGTTTGTTCAATATTTCAATGGCCCTGGAGCGGTTCCTTGGCAAAACAGGATGATACATTAAAATAAGAAATAAAATAATAAGTAAACTTACCAGCTTTGTTTTTTTCTTCTGGGCCTAAATCACAGCCCAATGAGCAACCACTTCCTGTCCTATTTCCATCCATAACTTCGCTTTTAATTCCCGATTGGCGTATTCCTTCGACTTCACTTCATATAAAAGAGGTCTTTCTTGTACTTCAATAATAAAACGCTCCGTGTCGAACATTTTGACGCGCCACTAGCCACGCAAGCGCACACACGACGAGCGAGCGAGAAGGTCCCGCGCAGAATGACGCAATAGCGGATAACCGCCCGTGTAGTTTTAAACGGCGGTTAACAGCGGCGGTTTGACGCTGCATGCGGCGGTCGAATTTCTCCCGCCTGCAAACCGCGGCGGGAAACCGCGCAGTGTAGTTTGTGGCATACAATGTCCATATAAAATTGAGTCTAGTGCGGTTCAGAAGCGGATTCCCGCGGCGGCAGAACCGCCTGTGTAGTATATTTGTTAGAGGTGGTGGTATGTTATTCCATATTTTCGAGGCTGCATAGCGAAATGCTCCCTTGAAAGATGCAGATTTGTGCTTTTGTACTGAAAGTTGCTGCGAGCACTGTCTTCTATCACATTGCCTCCTTGTAGCAACCCAGCCAAGTTTATTATACAAGTAAGATGGTTCATGATGTTTTATGACGCCAAAAAGCAAGCATGCCAGATGCAATTTCTGTCTCGACTTCTTTTTAAGCATTGCATGATCATTAAAAAACGGAGTGACGTGCCCCCGAAAAGGAACTGTGAAACAAAAACGGGCGCAAGCGTTTTGAACGCGCTGTACAAGCCGCTCCGTTCTGGCCAGTAGTCGTGGACCGTACACAGCATCAGCATAATTAAGCTTGGATAAGACTAACGTCTCCACCAGCTGTACACGCAATTCCTCCGACAAATACGGCCTAATTTTATATAACACTTTGAGCCGGTAGAAGCAATTTTTGACAGCTTCGGCAACATGTTCCTCAAACCGTAAGCCCTCATCAAGCTTTAAACCTTAGTTCCGTGCTATGTTTACCCTTTTTACTATCTTTCCCTTCAGTATTCATCATCATCATTACAGCCCTTCACAAGTCGACTGCTGAACATAGGCCTCCACCAAGTAATGCCACAAAGCACGGTCCTGAGCCACCTGCATCCATCGACTTCCTGCATATCTTGCCAGGTCGTCACTCCATCTAGTGGAGGGTCGCCCTACACTACGCCTACCGGTACGAGGCTGCCACTCGAGAACCTTTCTTCCCCATCGGTTATCGGTTCTTCGAGATATATGGCCGGTCCATTGCCACTTCAGCTTACTAATCCGTTGGGCTATGTCGGTCACTCTGGTTTTACTGCGGATATCCTCATTTCTGAGTCAATCACGCAGAGAAACTCCGAGCATAGCCCTCTCCATAGCTCGCTGAGCGACCTTGAGCGTCCTCATACGGCCAGCAGTGAAGGACCACGTCTCAGATCCGTAAGTCATCACTGGCAACACGCACTGGTTGTACAATCTAGTTTTTAGAGATTGGGGTATACCTGACGAAAAGATGTGTCGTAATTTCCCGAACGCTGCCCAGCCGAGTTGAATCCGTCGATTGACCTCTCGGTCGAAGTTGGACTTACCTAGTCGGACTATTTGTCCTAGGTAAACGCACTCGTCAACGACTTCGAGCATAGTGCTCCCAACAACTACCGGCATAGGTGTGACAGTTCCCAGTTTAGTTCCCTTCAGTACAATGCCTAAATCTTCCGGTAATTTATTTAATTGATTCTTTGTCCCAAATATCATATAATTAGTTTTATCAGGGTTTAATAGTAAACAGTTATGCTCAGACCACACGTTTTAAATCGTCATTTAGATCCTTAACTGCTGTTTCCCATTGACTGGGTTTGAACGAGATGTAAAAATGTGTGTCGTCTGCATACATATGATACTGACATTTTACAATATTTTTTGGTAAGTCTGCACAATATAAGTTAAAAAGAATAGGGCCTAGAATGGAACCCTGTGGCACTCCTCTGTTCACAGGTGCTAGGTTAGAATCCACAGAAGTTTCATTCCCACGACACAAACTGACCAATTGCTTTCGATTGAATAAATAACTATTGAACCAGAACAGCGTGCTACGTCCGAAACCGTAAAAGCTCATTTTGGAGAGTAATAAAGGTATATTTATGGCATCGAAGGCACGCGAGTAATCTAATAACACCAGTAGGGTGCACATGCCCTCGTCCTGGGCTGACAGGATATTATCCACTACATCATTCAGAGCTGTAGTAGTACTACGTCTCTTACGAAACCCAGACTGCAATTGAGGAAGAATGTTCTTTTGCTCAAGATATTCCGTAAGCTGCTGGCAGACAATATTTTCTAATACTTTTGATAGGCATGGTAAAATGCTAATAGGGCGTATATCTTTTAAGCTCAAGTGGTTATTGTTCTTAGGGAGCGGTCGAACAATAGCTATTTTCCAAAGGTCAGGGAACGCAGAGGTTAAGATTGACTTATTAATGATTGTATGTATGATCTCTAAAGAGTTAGGTAATGTCATGATTATCATTTTTAATGATAAATTGTCAATTCCTATTGCATTTGATTTTAAGCTGAGAATTACGCGTAAAATATCGTTCTGACTGACTGATGATATAGTGAATGTTGCATCGCCGAACCTGTGAAATTCAAAGTAGGTTAGATAAGACAGTGAAGCTTGTGGTTCTCCTGGTACGTCCAAAAAGTAATTGTTAATTTCATTTGCGTCATTAAAGTGTGAAGGCAATTCTACGGTCTGCTTTGGAGGTAATACTGTCCTTTTCAGATTTTTCCAAAGCGATTTTGGATTATTAATTTTGTTATTAATGCTGTGGCAAAAGTATGCGGCTTTTTCATTATGTAATGATTTTATCACTAGAGATTTAAGCTGCTTGTAGTACTCTCTACTGGATACCGACTTATTTTTACGGTACTTAGCCAAGGCATCATCACGAATTTTCATCATAAACCTAATATTATCTGTAAATCACGGAGGGGAAGGCTCCTTTAAAACACTCTTCCTAATGGATGCATGCGCATCGAACACGAATAAGATTTTGCGGTTAAAGATATCAACTATTTCATTTACAGAACAAGAAAACAAATTTTTGAAGTTCAAGTTAAATATATCAAAATTAAACTTATCTAAACATATATTATCTAGCGGTCTATATTGCACCAATTGAGGCGTAGGCTTATCCTTTATGATATGAAATTCACAAAGAATGATTGCATGTCCATATAAATAACCAGGCGTAAATACAGACATACGCTTCGATTTTAAGTCGGAGTAAACTAGATCTATCAATGTTTCGGATATGCTAGTGAAATGAGTAGGAGAAGTAACCAGCTGATTTAGTCCCAAATACGGTAGACAGTCGTTTAATTTTTTGTTTTTACTTCAGATTTATTTAGCAAATTGACGTTAAAGTCACCCATAAGTATAAAGTGGTCATTATCCCCCAAGGCACCTATTGAGCTGCACTGGCTACGGCATCCAGGAACAGATCCAGGTCTTGCCAAGGAGGCCGATAGGCTGTGCCTATAGCAATCTTTTTCCCTCGGATGTTAAGTATTAGCCACATTTGTTCAATATTTTCAGGTTTAAGATCCACAGTCAAAACACACGTACGTGCATTTAGTCCTCTTCGCACGTAAAAACCCACTCCTCCACCACGACCCGCACGTACACTTAACGGGCGCGGCGTGTGATGTAACCGGTACCCAGGAACCGCGGGCGCACGGCCCTCCTCACCCCGCCGCAGCCATGTCTCATTCACAGCCATGATATCAATGTTGTACATGAAAAACAGTGATATAAAATCGTCATGATTGGTACCCAGTGACCCAGCGTTATGAAAAGCCAATTTTAATGTTTAATTGTTTTTACGAGGCATGGAGCAAAATAATAAGCCTTCAAATAAAATCATGATAAAACAATAGCTTAGAATACCCTGATACGGTATGATGCGGAAAACATTTTTTCATTCCGTTTATATTATTGCAATAAATTAAAATTGTAAACATTATGAGATACGAGTAAAGACTTAATACTAAGTACTTTAAATAACATATTTATAATATGGTATATAGATATAACAAAATATATATTAATAGAATTCACGGACACTCTTAAACTGAAGATTGCTCCTGCAGTGCACAGACGTTCATAACCATAGGCTATTTTATAAATATAACATAAGTTACATGAAGATGACCTATAGGCATATCTAAAAAATAAAAATTTATTTGTTTTACAGTGGGGTATAAATTATCATATACAAGGTAAGATAATATTCTTGGAAGAAATTTGAGACACAGATAAATAAGGTACCAGTAAAAATACATGTTTATATACAGTATAAAGAAAAAGATAGGGTACGATCGAGACAAACTACGATCGACTAAAAAATTTTGTAAAGGTCTTTTTCACTACGGATATGAAACGCCCTCTCACCACCGTCTTTACGAACCAATATTCTTCCATCTTTCGACCAGACATATTTCCAATCGCGTTTTTTGCCCTCTTGACGTGCAAGGAAAAAGAGGTGTCGATTAGCTCGCGTGAGTCGTTCATTAATATACATATATGCTACTCGGCTTGCCAGTCACATCGATGTCTTTCGTGGAGAGGTTGCGGCGCACGCGAGCTGCGTACAGACTTGTAGCTCGGCGGCGAACCGCACTGCTATAATGCGCGGACGCATTGAGCTGAGATCGTCGTCGCTAGTACTCCCCTCCACCCTATTGCGACGTGCTAAGCCAACACGTTCCACGTTAACAATGTCTCTTTTGTCTAATGTTATTCCCAGCTTCGTAGATAGAACTGTAACTGTTGACATAAGGTTTTCTCCTCCAAGCTCAGTTATGCCGGATATTTCAACGTCATTGGAGAGGAGCTCCTGATCCCTGTTATTAAGTTGCTAATATACATCCACATATGTGGCCATCATAAATCGTTATCGCTTTCCTTTCACCTTCTGGGCTCAAGGCTCACTCTCACGTGTAATGTAATCAAATCTAAGATTTAATGTCCCAAAGTTTTCTATAAATTGCATCGCTTCCAATTTGCATAAAGACTGCATCAAAAATGTATGAAAAAAAAGCAGTTTTTTTTCTATTCGAATAAAATTTTGAAACCAAGAATAGTGGTCCAAAAGCTTCATAATAATAATGTCCTCCAGACCGAATTTTGATTACGGATGCAAAAATAATTTAGATAAGAAAACTTTAAAAACTCTTATTTTTGTTTTTATTAAGAGGCCGTGCAGAAAATTTATTCGATAGAGTTTAGGCAAATTCATTGCGGTGCTATCTTTGTGTACATCGTTTACGCACACACGGCTAAAGAACGAGCGCAGTGCTCGCTTAAATAATTTTGATCCTTTAGCTTTATAGTCTGCGCGGAAGTGCTAGTCATCGCCTTAGGTATGCAAGCGGCGAGACGGGGGAGGACGCGATTGACAAGACGCACACGAGATATTTGAGGACAGATAAATCTCCGGATAACCATGTTAGAAACTGTCTTAATTAACATAATGGGTAAATTATTTATATTTTCCGGGCTAAACAAAAATTAACACGTATTTAAAAGCGTTAATTAGATTTTATTATTTATAATACAAAACAGTTTTCTAAACTCACCACCCAAATTAAACCTAAATTACCTTACTGCGAGAATTCTATGTTCGACCTGTGGGTTCGTATCACAAATAAGGAGGTTATTAAAACCTTGCGGTGTCTAGACATGAATAAAGCTAGTGGACCAGTTGGTATACCAGCTATAGTTCTATAGCGAAATCCGTTATAGCACAAAATTAATCCATATCTTCTTCTTCTTCATTACTATACATGTCTTCAATTTCCATATCCTCCTCAGAATCTGAATCGTTTCCCAGGTTTATGATCAACTCGTCTTTTACATTGTCAAACCTCATATCGTGGTCCCAATATTGGTTCTCGATTTTCTGTACGTGGTCGTCACACTTTTGCCATCTTCCCGGAGTGAATTCAGAAAACAATTTTGTGATGATTGGAATTTTGTCGTCCAATGAAGTATTTATATAATTTGTAGCTAAATTGTTCTTTATATCGGCCCACACAAGCTCAATGGGGTTGAGATCAGGATGATATGGCGGAAGGCGAAGAACGATATGACCTGAAGCCTTTAATATTTCGTCAATGACGTAAATTTTTTCGGACTGAGTTCTATTTATCAAATGAAAGAGTTCGGCTTTTGTATTATCTGGTGTAAATTCAACATTACGTTCGCGTAACCAATCTTGCATGTCCCTTTTTAAACTTGACATAGTAGGTTTTTTCTTTACCTGTACACAATGGTAGGAGGCATTGTCCATTACGACCACTGAATTAGTTTATTTTTCAATTTGTGACTAACCCAGTTATGAAAATTTGTGGCATTCATATCGCCATGGTAATCCCCACATTTCGAATCTGATTTGAAAATTGTATGAAAATTTGTGGCATTCATATCGCCATGGTAATCCCCACATTTCGAATCTGATTTGAAAATTGTTAAGGCACCGTTAACTAATCCGTCTCGGCTACCACCATGAACAATCACCAAACGACGCCCTTTGCCAATATCAGCATAAATTCCAGGCTCAGATTCGGATTGCCAACACATATTGGAGGTGTGGCTACTATTAACGTAGGTTTCGTCCAGATAATATATGTTTCGGTTTTCATTTCTATGTTTCTGTATAGCTCTTAAATACCTTACTCTCCATTCAGCAATACTGGGCCTCTCAATTAAAATGTGTCTCTTAGATTTACATTTTTTAAATAAATATCCCATCTTATGTAAAAGCTGTCGTAAATAGGTACAACCGCAGTTCACAATGCCATCTTCTTTTAAAACTGCAAGCAGCTTACGAATACTTGGGATTTTCTTATCACTAGTATAAAATTGATGAATTTTTCTTCGTATAACTCCCATGTCAAAATCATCAATCTGGATTCTCTTTTTTATTTCTTTAGGTTTCCGCGGAGATGAAAATTTTGCAATTTCCGATGTTTGTAGACTCGAATTTCCTTCAGCTACAATTCGCATTACGGTGCGGGCAGACACTCCTGTAGCCTCTGCTACTAATTTATTAATGTTCATATCATATTTGTGTTCCATACTTTCCTTGTCGCCCTTTCGTCTTAAAAAAAAAACTATGTACATTATAAATAATATTTTTCACTTGTCGTGGTATTGGCGGACCCATCTTAGAATATTTATCTCGTGTATTTTTGGAGAAAACTGTCGCGTACAACTGAATCGTGTAACCGTCGCGGCGGTTGACGGCAGACTGCGTCAGCTTGATGTTTATCTACCTCCCCCGTCCTGCCGCTCACATACCTAAGGCGATGACTAGCACTTCCGCGCAGACTATAGTTGATAATTATTTTAGGATACATAGTAAGTACAGTTTAGAAATAAAAGTCTGGGATGTTTTTGTATAATAGTTTAGTACGAGGGATGATCCAAAAGTAATGATAATGAAAATAAAACACGGTAATTAAAGTTAAAATAATAATTTATTTTTCTACATAGTCTCCTAACAAATCAATACATTTAGTCCATCTTTTTTCTAAACCCAGGATTCCCTTTGAAAAAAATTCTTTGTCTTGACCCTCCCAAAACGCTTCAACAGCGGTCATTACTTCGCTATCGTCTTCGAATTTCTTGCCTCGGAGGCGGTCCTTGAGCCGAGGAAAGAGGTAGAAATCACTAGGAGCTAGATCTGACGAATAGGGAGGGTGTTCGAGCAGTTCGAATCCCGTTTCTTGAATGGCAGCCATCGCAACTGCGGCTTTGTGAGCCGGTGCGTTGTCTTGGTGAAACAGCACTCCAGCTCGCAGTTTGCCGCGTCTTTTTTCTTTAATGGCCTCCCGTAATCTTCTTATTTGGTCTGCGTAGTAAGAGCCCGTAATAGTGGCTCCCTTTTTCCAAATATTCCACCATAATTATGCCTTGAGCGTCCCAAAAAACAGATGCCATAACCTTTCCCGCCGAACTTGAAACTTTGAATTTCTTTGGCGTCGGTGAGGAGGCTCACTTCCAAGTCATCGATTATTGTTTCGTTTCAGGATCAAAATGGTGGATCCAGGTCTCGTCCATAGTCACAAAACGGAACAAAAAATTTTCTTGATCTGCTTGGAACTTTTCGAGATTGACCCTCGAAATCTCAACTCGATTTTTCTTTTGCTCGTCGGTTAACATTCTGGGTACCCAACGCGCAGAGACCTTTTTCATATGCAACTCGTTCGCAAGGATTCTTTGAACGCTGCCATATGAGATCCCTGTGACCTCAGCTTCATGCCTGATGGTCACTCTTCGATCTGCCAACACAACATCTTCGACTTTTTTCACGTTGTCATCAGTGAGGGACGTGGATGGGCGTCCTTCGCGATGTTAATCTTCAGTGGATGTTCTGCCCAGTTGAAACTCCTTGGCCTAGCGTGCAACTGTAGAATATGGAGGAGCAGAGTCCCCCAATGTTTCCACTAATTCACTGTGTATGTCTTTTGAAGATATTTTTTCAAACAGAGGTACTTGATGACAGCTCTAATTTCGTTTTTCTCCACGTTGATGTTACTCTTTGACAAGTCGTATTCTAATGAATGTATCTCCCGGAAATCGTGATCTACTTATATGATTTTTTTAGGCTGACGTATTGAGTATATAAGCAAGCAAAAATTATTTTTTTTGGATTTTTATGCGGACCTAAAGTAACCGATTATCATTACTTTTGGATCACCCCTCGTATATTTATTACAATCAACATAAAATTAAAATAAAAAAGAAATGTGTTAGAGTCAAACACATTTCTTTTTTATTTTCATTTTATGTGATGCACAGACTTATTAGGACTAGGGGCCACTCGGGCAAATTACGAACTGATGGCGGGCCGCCAGAAGTATAGGTAATTAGAGACAATAAAAAATTGATAATAACGTATTAAAATTGAAAAAGAATTTATTAATTTGAAGCGTGGCACTTCATAGTGCTTACAATCTCTTTTATATTTGGCTCAAATTTAGTTGTAGCAACACGTAAAACTGCTTCCAAACTTTCATTTGCAAGGCGGTTTCGATTTTTTGTTTTATTATTATTTAGTACTGAAAAGGTTTGTTCACATTTATATAGGTAGAACCAAATAAGATGGCACATTTCAGAGCGTTTATGCGCAACTCTTTGTACGTATTTTTATCAATGCAGCGGTAAAAGTTCAGCAAGACTCCTTCAATGTTTAACTGCATTGACTCTGGCGCATTTTCAACTGAAATCGTGAAAGGATTGCTGAATATGTCCAACAGAGGTTTCACTTTTTTAAACTCCGAAAATCTGTCTTGAAAAGATTGAATCAAAATATCTAGCTTTTCTACGTAACTGAAATTAATCGCAGTTTTGTTGAATTTTTCAGCCATTTTCTTATAATTTGAAATTTGAAAATTGAAAAAATGATTGTAATTTAAGTGTCAGCTTGCATTGAAAGGATGATACATGAGCGTAGAGCTGGGATATCAGTTGATTTTTGCCTTGAAGCCGTGTGTTCAAGACATTCAAATGATTTGTAATATCAACTAAAAAAGCCAAATCACACAACCAATCAGGATTTTTAAGTTCCGGGACATCCCTTTGATTTTCCGCCAGAAATAATTAAATTTAGAAATCGTTCCAGTGTCAATCCACGACTTAGCCACCTTACTTCTGTATAATACAGTAAATCTCCGTATTCGCTTTCGATGTCATCAAGGAATTGTTTGAATTGCCTGTGATTGAGTCCTCGTGATTTTATGAAATTTGCGGTCGAAACTACCACTTTCATAACATTTTGAAATTCAATATCATCATTTTGAATAATTTTGAAATTTTTTAGAACAGAGGGCTTCTTGGTGTATAATGCAGTGAAACTGCATGAGATCTTCAGCGTTTATGTTTTTTTCTTGCAGAAGGTTTTTCAACAAAGTAACTAGCCCAGAATTGACACCAATCATCGAAGGAACACCGTGAGTCGCAACTCCCGATAATTTTGATAAGTCCAAATCAGTTTTTGAACACTCATCCAAAAGTACATTGAGTATATCAACTCCTCTGGTTTGACCAGCTGGCCGCATGCGGCCCGCGGGCCGCGGTCTGTGCATCTACGTGTTAGACAAATACACTGTGCATATATATTTAAGTAATTTAATGTTCTCGTTCTGCGATGTCATTAATGTCTGCTAGAGAGTACAGACAAAATTAACATGTCTTATTGGTATTTGCCTGAAAATCAAACATCGTGATTTCATTAAAACAAAGTTTTTGTAAATGCAAAACATTTAAATTTAAATATTAGGCCGTATATGAGAAACGGAATGTTAAAGGGATAAATAAAATACAGAGCACGAGTGCGTGACGTACACGTCAAGTAAATACTTTGATTTTAAAATTGATAATACTTGTTTTTTTTATAATATTTACTCAATGTTTTGAATTTATTTTTATCCATGAGGGATACAAAGTACACATTTTGGCAAAAATAAGCCGAACATGCTAAAGGATACGTGTATTTTCGATAAAACATTCGGCCTATTTAGTTTAAATCTATGTCCAATATCGGTTAAAATAAAAAATAATTAAAATGTTGTGTCTCTCAGTGGCATTGAGCGAGTTTTCTTCCGCGTACGTACGCGCAACGCCATAACTGCAACACGGTCTTCTTTAAGCGTCCACTCCATATTTAAAAATGAGTAAAATTCTAAAAAGTGTACAGTTTTATTTTCATGAACAATACGAAATTCGAATTCAATAAACTTTTTTGTGGCCAGCATTCTAAAAGAAAAGTTTTTACTGTGTGACAATACTTATGACCTGACTGTGTATAAGGGCTAAAACTCGAACGTCAGACGATCTGTCATATCGCAAACTTTACCGCAACGCCTGTAGACGTTACTGTCGTACAACGTGTTAAAAGGTTGCTAAGAAGAAATATATTTTATTCGTCTAAACTTATATCAGAGCCAGGAACATCTGAATTGTCACTAAATTCGTCATCTGAATCTGTGACGGATATTAAATTAATTAATTTTACTTACTTTTGTTGACTTTGGTAAGTGGCGTCACTATCTGTCTCGGTCGCTCATGGCAAACATATCCACTATCCATCTCTCACATCAATAAAAAACATTTGAATAAAAAACATTTGAACTGAATAAAATGGGTTAGAAAAATCGGGTTACTCTAGGATTTTATTTTTTTACTAGTTTTTTTTACTATGTAACTAACAAGTATTGTACCATTTTACAATCCTGATTAAATGCGCGAACTTTTACTTACTACACTTGCCAAGGCACTTTAGTACATTTTTTTAAAAGGAGGGCCTTTCAAAGTTGAGAAATTTTGAAAATTTTAAATTCATAGTTTAACAAATAGTCTTAATTCTAGAAAACTTTGGGCAAATGTGTCATTATTTTTGACTGTGGGTTCTAGAAATGTTATTTAGGGTTACGGCTCCAAAGTTTAAATGAACAAAAATAATAAAAATTAGCTACAATAACCGAAAAAAAATGGTTACAGTTTGACCAAATTTCTAGGTTTTTCTTAAATGCCCATAATTTCCGAACTGCATGGCATAGATTCTTTTCTGATTTTTCTCATGATGGTTAGTTACAATCAATCCTGTCACCCCGTTTCGGCTTGACGTTGAGTTCTGGGACATTCTGTATAAATATTACTTACATGTATACAGGTTGTTTGGTGATCGGGTGCACAAATTTGAAGGGGTGACACACTAGACCATTTAGAACATATTCATCCAAAAAAAAAAAATTCTAGCGCGATTTCGATTTTTAAGGGGACTTAAGATTTTAGCACGAAAATCCCAAAATTGGTCAATTAAATGCTAATAACTTTTAACCTAAACAGAAATGACCGTTATTTTTTTAATTATTCTAGTAGTCCAATATGTCCCGGATCGTATGCCAAAGTAGTTTTAAGCTCCATTGTATCCAAAAAAGTTATGTACAAAGCATTTAAACTTTACAAAAAAAAAAAAAATAAGTAAAATATAAAATGTGAATTTTGATGTCATTTAAAAAAATAAATAAAATACCTACAGGTGTTCAGACAACTTTAAAAACATGCTCGGTTATTGCTCTTTAATTTGAGGTATAATTTACGTAGCTGAGTCTTAAACTTTTTTAATTAGGGCGCCTGAACCAATTAAGGGTCGTGAATATGGATTTTTTAGGAATTAAAAAAACTGTTTTGTAGTGATTTTTTTATTTTTCGTGTTCAAAATGAAGTCCACCATTGCGAATATACTTTCTGCAATGTCTTCTTACTTCCGTCGTAATTTTCATCCGCATTTCTTGTTTAATGATTTCGAATGCTGCTATGATTCTTTGATGTAATTCTTCTCTGGACGTGTTTTCACTAGTATAAACCAACTCTTTTGCGCGACCCCACACAAAAAATCCAAGGGCGTCAGGTCTGGCGATCTGGCAGGCCAGGGGATGGGTCCACCTCTCCCGATCCAGTCGCCAGGAAAGCAGTTGTCCAGGTGCTCGCGGACGCTTACAGCCCAATGTGCTGGGCAGTGCCTTGTTGAAAGATGATCGGCCTGTCCGTGTTCATCACTCCGGCATCAAATAGCAACATTGGCAAGTCGTTTATCATAAACTCCAGATAATTTTAGCCCATTAAAATTGTCGGGCAAAATGTCTGAGTGAACCAATTTGTTTCCGATGACTCCAGCCCACACATTTATTGAAAATTCTCTTTGGAAAGAATCCTGAAACAAAAACGCAATAAGATAAGTTAATGTAGGTAATTAAACATGTACAATACGGCCGACGTATCTTGGCGAGTCTGAATATAGGCTCTGCGAAGTTTAGCGCATGAACACTCGTGAAGAAAACTGTTATTGTCATTTTTTTATATATACCAATGTACAAATAAAATTTCCCTAATACAGTGACCAAAAATATCAAAACACTTTGGAGACATTATAAATTAAAGATTCAATTTTGATACCTCTCCTTTCGATAGGGGCAGATTTTATCACAAACACATACAATATTATTTACATTTAATACTTTTTATTTATTTACACTTATTATTATTTAATCACTGTCGCTGAGGGGGGAAATTCCTAACATAAAGTCGTCGGCCCCTTGTGTACCATGTGAGGTACTTGGCATAGGTTCATCTTCGTAATCGTCGCTCTCACTTTCAGACTCACTTTCTGAATCTGAAGCTGTATTAATGATGAATAATTGATCCGTCATTTCGTCAATAATATGGTCGCTCTTCCTATAGTCATGTTCGACCTCTTGCACTTTTCTGCATAAAGCACTCCATTCATTCTGACCCATTAAATTTACTTTTTCTTGTATGAGCTCCATTGTCCGGGTTACGTTCCAGTCGACGTTTTTAGCGGCTACGTGCCCTTTAATGGCAGCCCACACCATCTCGATGGGGTTTAAATCGGGATGATATGGGGGTAAACGAAGGACATCGTGGTTGTTTTGTTTAAACATTTCATCTATTACGTATTTTTTATTCACGTCTTTGTTTTTTTTTATTAGATCGTAAAGTTGTGGTTTACGCATGTCCTTTTCATATGGTATACCCTTTTCTAATAACCACGATTCCATTTTTGCCTTCTTGTCATTAGATGTAGGGGCAGGATCCATTAATTTGTTGTGGTACGGAGCATTATCGATAACCACCACCGAGTTAGGGCTCAAATTTGGAATCAGTTGGGTCCGTAACCATTTCTCATAATTTTTGAAATTCATGTCATCATGATAGTCTCCGGTTTTGCTGCCAGATTTGAACATTAGTAGCGCGTTCGGAACAAACCCTGCTTCTGACCCAGCGTGTACCATCACTATCCGCTGACCTTTTGATATCGGGCGCTTTAGTCCTTGAGCGGAACCATCTGACCACGCCTTACCTTTTGTATGTGATGAGTGGGCATACGACTCGTCAGTGAATACAATTGGTCGCCCTTCGTCCCTGTATTTTTTCATTGCCTTCAAGTACAAGATCCTTTTCAGGCGAATGTCGGTCTTCTCTATAAGAACCATTCTATTGGTTTCGGTCTTTCGCCACTTGAAACCCAAGTTTTTGATAATTGTATTTAATCTCGTTTTACCACCTTGAAAATTTATATCCCGTTTGAGTTTCGCTAGTAATTTGTTTATCGTCGGCATTTCTTTTTCAGTTTTGTGGAAGTTGTGTATGCATCTTTTTACTACTCCCTGGTCAAAATTATCCATATCAGTAATAGGTTTTGATCTAGACCTTTTTTTACCAGGCGTGCGGAATACTGAAAGTAAGCCCGAAATATTGCCTTCAGTTGCGATCCGCTGTACTGTGCGTTGGGACACACCAGTTGCGTTAGCAACTCTTAAATAAACTTTATCGACATCTTTTACGCCTTCTTCTTTTTCTTTTTTCATATATTGCGTTAAATCGTAAATAATTTTTCTCGCCTGGCGATTTAATACACTGTTATGTTTTGGTGGCATGTTTGGCGAATAATATAAGTGCTAACTGACACTTGCAAATAAAACAAATAAAACAAATAAAACAAACAAAACAAACTATTAATAAAAACAAACAACAATAACAACGAAAACTTTTGTAACCGACTGTGCTCAAGACAGAGATAGCGACACGAACACGACACCAATGCTAACGTGTGACTGAGAAATATTACCGTGTACCGAGCATTGCCGAATAAGCACGAAGCTTTACGAAGTAACCAGAAAGGGATGTCCAACACGCGTGCCTGAGGGTGTTGTTTAATCGATTTTTATTGAAATCGATTAAAATTTAGACATTAAAATATATTTATTTGCAATTTATAAGGAGGTTCTAAATTTTCTCAAATAGTCGTTACTCAAGAAGACGTTAATAGATAATTGATATTTAAGTACATTATGTCTTTCAGCTGAGAAAATAATATGTTTTTAGTTTTTTTTTTTATTTAAGTCGAAATCTTGTTTATTATCAACAAAATTCACTATATTTGTAAATCTATTTCGTTTAATATCTTATATAAACAAAAATTAATAACTTCTAAATAAAACTAATCGATTGTGATATTTTATGACTAAAGGGTCGATTGTGTTTACTTATGGTCAATCTCTAGCCTAGACCACCGCCCCCCGTACGTCGCCTCATGCCACCATTTTGTTCCTTAAAAAAGCTATTGCGCAACCTTCTGCGCGAAGGTCGGACTCGCCAAGATACGTCGGCCGTATTGTAAGTTTTGAGACTTTCAGGTGGTTAACTACAATTATTGTGCCCATGGAGTTTGAAACAGCTCCGAAATAATAAATGCGATGGCGGTAATAACCTGGTTCAAAATAACAATCTAATTGTAATTAAACTTGTGTTGAACATGAATAATAACAAAATACCTGTTTTTTTCCAATGTGGATTGTTGTCCTTATCAGCCCATTCATGGAGGTTGTGGAAGTTAGTAATTCCTTACCTAGAAAACTTTGATTCGTCAGTCCAGAGGATGGACTTTAAGAACCACGCGTCGTCAATATCTGCGTTTAGCAGAAAACGGCAAAACTGCATCCTTCTAGCCGGATCCCCTTCCTCCAAGCCTTGTACGCCTGATCCATGAAACGGATATTTATGTTCGTTGTGCAACACTTTCCATATCAAAAGGTTAAAGTCTCGCTACAGCTCTGACACTAGTAGTAGGATCCGCTTCGAAGGCTGCGAAAATTTGCTCCTCAAGATTGGCGTTATATCTTCCTGCAGTTACTCCAGGTTCAGTGTTCACTCCAGTGGTGAAACCCCCCCCAAAAGGGGGGGATGCGGTAACGTATATTTTCTGAAGTATAAAAAATCTATCCTAACCTATAAAATATTGATATTGATTAATTTAATATGGTATTTGTTTAAATCAAGTGGGAAGGAGGCTCTAATTTTAGTTCTCTTCTTCTCTCTACCCCGTCTGACGCTTTACAATCGACCTTCTTACTTACAGGGGTTCGATTCTGGGGCTGATCTACGTTCAACGGACACAATTCTTACCAAACCTGACGTGTCGCCAGTTTTGTTCTGGCCTGAACATATATATACAGAATGGGGTCCCACATATATGCAATAATTGAAACCACAAGTAATACTGGTCCGTAGAAGTGTAGAAAAATTAAATATTAAATTAAAACCCGTAAAATAAAAAAGTGAAATTTTCAAACAAAATAAATATTGAAATAAATTCAGTAAAAGTGAACACTCTGTTTAGACAACGTACCTTGACCCCTTGGAAGAGTGACAACGTTGCACGCGAGTGGCGTGGCGATTGTCGGCACGGCCTATGGTTCGTTGGACAATGTGCGACGAAATAAAAACTTACTCACTGAACTGTTTAGATATTTTACCGCCACTTTTTTATTTCGCGAAAATGGAACTGAACGAAATAAATATTATTGCATATTAGTAGCAAAATTTAATGAAAGCCTAAATTTTAAAATTTTCAAACAGTCCGCCACGTTCTTGAATGCACAAGTTACATCGCCGCATAATGTTGTCCTGAAGCCTGCTCAACAAGTTTCGTTCAGGATCCAGAGCCAGGACTTTTAATTTGTTAAAGGCGGCAACAATACGATTGCGCAGTTCATCTTCGGTTTCGGAGATCTTTGAGTACACTTCATTTTTAATAAAGCCCCATAAAAAGAAGTCTAGAGGAGTGAGGTCGGGCGATCGACCTGGCCACCTGCGAGGGCCATAGCGCCCTCGCAGGTGGCCAGGCGCCAGGCGCGCATCGCGAGGAGTACGGAGTGTGGAGGAGCTCCATCTAACTGGAACCATACCCTTTGGTAAGCTGCCACAGACAATCCTTCTAAATATTCTGTTATTGGGCCGTTAAGAATATTGAGAAATTTCTGTGCATTCAGGTTTCTGTCAATAAAACTAGGGTCGATTATTTGATCTCCGTGAATGCCTGCCCAAACATTAATGGAAAATCGGTATTGATGAGCTGATTCCCTAAATAAATGGGGATTCGTATGGCTCCAGTAACGCATGGATTGTCGGTTCCATATGCCGTTTCGAGTAAACGTGCTTTCATCTGTCCAAAACACATTTGTTAGGAAACTTTGGTCTTGAGACATTTTTTCCAGTACCCAGTGGCAGTAAGATTCTCTAATCGGCTTATCGCGGGGCAGCAGCGCCTGCACCTTAACATATGTATTTATAAGGACGTAGTTTGTTCCTTTTCAGCACTCGGTGTATTGTTTTATGCCTCACTCTAAACACACGCCCAGCTTGTCTAAGGCTGCAGGTTGGATTCCGATCGAAATGGTCTAAGACTCGTTGTTCGAACGAGGGTGGAAAGTGACGCGGAGCAACTCCTTCATGAGTGTTGGGCACTATGCGCTGATTTTCCCTGATTCTTTGGACAGCACCTAGGATTGTCCGGACGCTAGTAGGGCAGACGCGAGTTGCGCCGTATCTCTCACTATAAGTACGCAGAGTTAACGCTGAATTTTGGTGGCATTCGCCATACAATAAAACCATGTCTGTATACTCTGCCGCACTGTAAAAATGCTGTTGTCTTGGAATTTTCCGCCGCCAAAACGTATACACAAAAGTCAAGTAGTGTCAATATCACAGTGAAAAAATAATTAAAATAAACGTACTTAAAAACACTATTTACACACACAAAGTCAATTAACTAATAAGTGTCTATTTCACCGTAAAAGAATTGTTCGACTAATTGTATTTATTTTACGATAATACGATAATTATCTTACAATAAATAATTGCGATGCTTGTAGGCAGCGAAACACACCTGTATTCTGGGAGAATTGCGCGTGAACTGGAAGCCGAATTTCCAAATTCCAAAATGGCGAAAATAATAAAAGTAATAAATAGGGCGGCCACAAGGTGCAATTATCGTTTATCGATACTTTTCTTTTTACACTTACTTACCTACTACATTTGAATACAAGTAATTTTGATTTTTGATTTGATAACAATCGACAAGTTATTGATTGATAAAAAAAAAGTTTATTTTTATACAATTGAACTTACGAAACTACCGATTTGTAACTTCCTGGGAAACGGGTAAGTATGTATGACTTTTTAATTGGTTGTTTTTATGGGTTTTTTAGCATGTTAAAATAATTTATAATCTCTAAATCTACAAGAACACACTTAAACAAAAAAGCTTTAAAGTTTAGCTTTAAATACTTAGGTCGTAATGTTTTTAGAATTATCATAACAACACGATTATTCTAAAAAAACCATACCCTAAGTGTTTAAAGCTAAACATTTTTTTTGTTTATCGATTATTACTCCCTTTGAAAGAAGCTAATCGTCGATAACTGGTGTCCTACTCTACGACAAAGGCGCGCGCGCACTTGCGCTGTCGCCTTTGAAGTACGCCGCGTGCCTCGTGCCGCTACTTTCGACAAACGACACCGCTGTCGATATGTCGCAATAACCAATAGTTTGCACTGCGTGGCAACGTCGCTTTTTAATGTTTAAGGATTCAAGTTCATTGAATCATTGACTTAGTGACCGAATTCTATAGAGAGTTCAAATTTGCTTAAAATTAAAACTCCACTTTTTGACCTAATTACTGGACCGAACAAAGTTTATGGCCTCTATAAGTGATAAAAATAAATCTTTTTTATTTCATTGTATTCTTCGTCTCCACATATATTCTACAATACTATCGGAAAATTCTTTAGGGTTATTTATGTTATTTTTAAATTACTTTTTAACGACACGCCACTGTGCCTCAATCCTTTGTTTCCATCTAGAGTAACAAAAGTATTGTCTGGGTCCGAGTGATTCACCTTTTTATGGATGTATCCATAAGAACCCAGACAATCATATGCACGCCAGCAATCCGTATGTATAATTGACCCCTCAATCACATGCTTCTGGATCAGGGGCACCAACAATTCTGCTGAGCGCACATTCTCCAGGAAAACTTCTAGCCGAAGGTCTTCACTCCCATCTTCAATAAGTCCAAGGACCCAATGGCCTTCAATGTGTCGTCCTATAACAAATCACAAAAATATTATTTAAAAAAACAATTCAAATATAAATAATATCCGTCTCCATGAACTGAGGATGGAATTACAGCGGAGCTTCTGAAAGCGGGTGGAACACCGGTACTTGAAGTCCTTCAGAAGCTCTTCAATTCCGTCCTCCATGGTGGCACTACTCCAGAGGCGTGGAGCAGAAGTGCGGTGGTCTTGTTCTTTAAGAAAGGCGACAACGCTCTCTTAAAGAACTACAGACCGATTTCCCTTCTGAGCCGCGTCTACGTGCTGTTTTCGAGAGTCATTACGAATCGTCTCGCACGCAGACTTGACGACTTCCAGCCTCCCGAACAAGCCGGTTTCCGAAAAGGCTTCAGTACCATAGACCACATACATACCCTGCGGCAGATTGTACAGAAGACTGAAGAGTACAATCTGCCACTTTGCCTGGCGTATGTGGACTATGAGAAAGCCTTTGATTCCGTCGAAATTTGGGCGGTGCTACAGTCCCTTCAGCGGTGCCAAGTTGACTGTCGGTATATCGAAGTGCTGAAGTGTTTGTACAGTAGGGCTACGATGGCTATCCGAGTACAGAACCAGAGCTCGAAACCTATCCAACTGCAGAGAGGTGTAAGACAGGGTGACGTTATATCCCCGAAACTCTTCACCGCTGCATTGGAAGACGTTTTCAAGCTACTGGACTGGAAAGGATACGGTATTGACATCAATGGCGAGTACATCACTCACCTTCGATTTGCCGACGATATAGTCCTTATGGCAGAATCGCTGGAGGACTTAAGCACTATGCTCAATGACCTCAATAGTGCCTCCCAACGGATAGGTCTTAAGATGAACATGGACAAAACAAAGATCATGTTCAATGTCCATGTCACACCTATGCCGGTAGTTGTTGGGAGCACTATGCTCGAAGTTGTTGACGAATACGTTTACCTGGGACAAATAGTCCGACTAGGTAAGTCCAACTTCGACCGAGAGGTCAATCGACGGATTCAACTCGGCTGGGCAGCGTTCGGGAAATTACGGCATATCTTTTCGTCAGGTATACCTCAATCTCTAAAAACTAGATTGTACAGCCAGTGCGTGTTGCCAGTGATGACTTACGGATCTGAGACGTGGTCCTTCACTGCTGGCCGTATGAGGACGCTTAAGGTCGCTCAGCGAGCTATGGAGAGGGCTATGCTCGGAGTTTCTCTGCGTGATAGACTCAGAAATGAGGATATCCGCAGTAAAACCAGAGTGACCGACATAGCCCAACGGATTAGTAAGCTGAAGTGGCAATGGGCCGGCCATATAGCTCGAAGAACCGATAACCGATGGGGAAGAAAGGTTCTCGAGTGGCAGCCTCGTACCGGTAGGCGTAGTGTAGGGCGACCCCCCACTAGATGGAGTGACGACCTGGTAAGACATGCAGGAAGTCGATGGATGCAGGTGGCTCAGGACCGTGCTTTGTGGCATTACTTGGGGGAGGCCTATGTTCAGCAGTGGACTTGTGAAGGGCTGTAATGATGATGATGATGATGATGAACTCGGTTTCGCCTTAAACATTTTGTATATCAATATATATTTTTTACCTACCAAGCTAGGTCAATTGAGTCCTGCTATGTAGGGCCAGTATTTCTGGGTGGTTATAAAAAAAATAACCACGAAGGCTAAGGCGGGAGCGAAGCTCTAACCTAACCTGTCCGAGTCGGATTGCTCTGAATCGGGCTGTCAAACATGATATCAAAAAACTTAACCAACTTAAAAGACCATTAAAAAATATAAGTTCCTTTGTTATATTTTCTCTTTACAAATTTGTTTTCATCGATTTGGACCACCTTGCCAGGGCCACCAATTTTACCTATATTTTTTGTACATTTATCTGGTATATAACTACTGTCTCACGACAGTGGCTATACCAGTCGGCTATTGTTGCCATTAAGAGGCAGCCTTCCGTATCTCTCCGGATCCTCAAATATTACATTGTCATATGACCATCGGTGGGCAAAGGCGTACATTAAGAAGTAGACACGCAGCATCGATAACTTCACGTTTTCGAACCACGTGTCCGTAGCTCGAGAAACTTTCGAGCGTGCCCGACAGTTGCCTTTAGTGCATATAAATTCGCCAACATTCTTACAATTCCCATATGAAATTCGCATCAGGATGCGATGATGGCGGCACATTTCATTTTTAGGGATCAGGGCATGTTCTTCTGCGAACTCCACACATTGCTCCCGAGTTAGTAGTTTTTGAAAAGCATGGTCCAATTCGGCATTTTTATTAATTCTTCCGCGTGCAACCTCCTATGCTAGTATACTTCGTCGGTACAAACAGCCTCAGTCTCGGTTGATGATGAAGCGCGCGCGTCACAAACGGCACTAGTTGACGGCTGAGGGTTGTTGTCTGCCATCTCAAATAAAAAAAGGTCCGTATATGAAAGCAAGGGTCGTCGTTCTTGAAAGGTTCGTAGTCCAAATACAATGCCAGGTAAAATCGTCAAAACAGGTACAAGTCACAAGGTACAATGCAAGGGTCAGGTTGGGAGCAAATAACGAAACAAATCACACGGATAAAAAACAACGATGCCAAGAGCACAAAGGCAATGGAATGAACAATTCTAACATATAACATTGACAGCCAGTGTTTCCTTTTTTTTAAAGCAAAGATTTACCATATACAGCCAAAAAAATTTTTAGGTCTGAAATAACACGCGGTAAAAGGAGATGCAACCATAATGTTGTCTCTTTCTAATGCTTTAGAATGTCATTATGTAAATGTCAAGGGCCAAAAGCCAAAACAATACTGTTCTATACGATTCCTAGTAGTTAACCTATAAAACTTAAAAAAATAATTTTTTGAAAACTATAAGTTTCCGCAGAAAATCCTTCTAGCATTTACTTCAATGACCTATTACCTACATATTAAAATTATCACGAAAATCGTGCGACCGTAAACTAAAGCACAGCCAATCCGACTAATAAGAACACAGACAATTTCTGATTTTTTAAGTTTACGCCTCCCATGTATCGGTTGTACTCCTGAACCACTGTTGGCTTCAGGACTGCCTGTCCAGCACGTCTTCCCGGTACCATCTCATGTTGGTGGTAGGTAGACAAAACGGTGACAAGTTTGACGTCTTTCCACGGCACCAACGCGATGTCACCGCAATGTCTACCTACAGACACCCCACGCTCCAGCTGCTTCGGGTTCAAATTCTTTATAACCTGTGGTATCCCCTTTCGCCGGCGGTTTATGTGCGTACCGTGCCTTCTGGCGTTACCACGCAAGGATAGCACGGCAGCAGGCGACCTTCCAGCATCTCGCGGATCTGCCCGGCAATGGCATCGTCATGGTGACGTTTCGACATGATTCTAATAAATAAATAAAAAACATGTATTATATACAAAATAAATTCCTCAAAATCGCTTAGTGGAGCTGAACAAAAATTCTTAGCCTTGAAAGTTCTCATCCGATTATATAATTTAAAACTATATATACAGGGTGTCCCAAAAATATCACGTCAGAGTGACATGGAAGATAGGTTAGCCTTAGGTCTTGCAGATAAAGAAAAATGACCTTAGTAAAAGTATTTTAGTTTTCGAGATATCGTCAATTGTTTTATTTTCTCAAAAATCTCTACTTTAAGTTAGTGTTCCTACCGTTGTTGTTAGAAATACCTTGAAAGTTGTTGGTTTTTATATTTTTTTTATTTTTTGAACAGTTGTTCCATGCGGTGAAAATAAATTTGTCCCAAAATCTAATGTATTTTTTAATAAAAAAAATGATTTGTATTACTTTTTTACCTTTGAAAAAATTGAACTCCAACTTTGATGACACACCGTGAAAAAAAATTTTACTGACGTAAACTGGCAAATAATTTGCAAAACTGCTCCAATTACTGCAGATTCAGGAAAGGTACAACACTTATATCAATTGTTTAAAAAATGTTGGAATTACCATTTTTATCATTAAGGGTAGCGCTAAAGCCGAACTTATTGGCTTAGCTATGGGATATTGCCAAAAAAAAATTGAATTTTTAATTAACGTAAATATTAAAGCAGCTGCTCGAATTGTTTCCCTCTAGTTCTAATACATAATCTACATCTTCTGATAAAATTATTTTTTAATCTTCTTAAACCTATTTGCGATATCTCTTGAGCCGCTATGTTTATCCGGTTACGGAGTTCCCTTTCGTTGTGAATTGGCTTTAGGTACACTTTATCCTTGAGACAACCCCAATAAAAAAAAATCCAGAGGATTTAAGTCAGGGGTTCTCGGGGGCCATAAGATTGGCCCCAATCGCCCAATCCACCTTCTTGGGAACCTGTTGTCAAGATAGGCTCGAACGTCTCGAGCGTAATGTGCTGGGCAACCGTCGTTTTGGTACCACATCTTTGCCCGTGTTTGTAGTGGCACATCCTCTAGGAGCGTTGGCAATCAGTGTTGAAGAAATGCCAAATAGTTTTCTCCATTTAATGTAGGAGGTAGCTCTACTGGTCCTAATATTGAACCATTGAAGATTCCTGTCCATAAATTGATTTTAAACATGTATTGTGAACGGTCTTCTCTGGTTTCATGCGGGTTCTCTAACTGCCAACTATGAATATTGTGCAGGTTAAGATATCCGTCCCTTCTGCACTGAGACTCATCAGTCCACAAAACTTTATGAAAAAAGTCGGGATCTTGCCTATTTTGTTCCAGCATTCGTCGGCAAAACAGAACTCGTTTTACATAATCACCCTCAAGGAGAGTTTGCACTCTTTGAATGTGGTATGGGTGAAATTGATACCTTTTTTTAAAAATACGATGAACCGATGATTTCGGTATTCCAGTGCGGCTTTGTATCATACGAACCGAAGTCGAGGGATCCTCTTCGCGTTCCTGTAGCACGACGTTGTCCTCGATTGTTCGCGGTCTCCCAGATTGAGAACCTCGAGTTCCAGGTATTCTGCCCTCCCTATAGGCAGAATCCAATCGTTCAATCACCTCATACGTCGGATGTCTACGGTCTGGATACCGTTCCGCGTACAATCTTGCAGCCAACCTTGCGTTTAATGAGACTATGCCTCGAGTAGAAACTTTCCTGGTTTCGCCGTAAATCAAGTACATGTCAGCGTACTCACGATGTGTAAAGCGACTAACAGCGCCTCTTCGTGGATTTTCCATTATTAGAACTTTCACAACAAAATCAATCAGTCCAACAACAGTCCGAGTAGTAAGCAAATCAAAGTCCAATTAATAAACGCCGAGTAGTCAAAAATAACGAAAGGAGCACAAAACCGCACGAGTATCACAAAAAACTGAAAATAACGTACTAAAAACAAAATCAACCACCGAAGTCCGAAGCTACCTGTGCGAGACTGAGATAGCACTGTTCTCCCTCTATTCACAGCTATCTCGCTCAGTTTATGACCGGAGACCGGTTGATGGGATGCTAAACACAATAACTAAACAACATTCCTTTTCATTGCTTTTGAAAACAGAATTCTTATTCAATAACAAATTACAGCTTCCCGCTGAGAGCGCTACCCTTAATAATAAAAATAGTAATTTTGACATTTTTTTAAATAGTTGATATAAGTGTTATACTTTTTCTGAATTTGCAGTAATTGGAGCAGTTTTTCAAATTATTTGCCAGTTTACGTCAGTACATTTTTTTTTCAGGGTAGGTCATCAAAGTTGGAGTTCAATTTTGTCAAAGGTTAAAAAGTAACACATATCATTTTATTTTATTAAAAAATACGCTAGATTTTGGGAGAAATTTACTTTCAACGCATGGAACAACTGTTCAAAAAATACAAAAATATAAAAACCAACAATTTTCAAGGTATTTCTAACGACAAGGGTAGAAACACTAACTTAAAGTAGAGATTTTTGAGAAAATAAAACAATTGACGATATCTCAAAAACTAAAATACTTTTACTAAGGTCATTTTTCTTTATCTGCAAGACCTAAGGCTAACCTATCTTCCATGTCACTCTGACGTGATATTTTTGGGACACCCAGTATATATATATATATATATATATATATATATATATATATATATATATATATATATACATATAAAAACCAACAATTTTCAAGGTATTTCTAACGACAAGGGTAGAAACACTAACTTAAAGTAGAGATTTTTGAGAAAATAAAACAATTGACGATATCTCAAAAACTAAAATACTTTTACTAAGGTCATAAATTTTCTTTATCTGCAAGACCTAAGGCTAACCCTATCTTCCATGTCACTCTGACGTGATATTTTTTGGGACACCCAGTATATATATATATATATATATATACACTTGTGTTGAACATGAATAATAAAAAAATACCCGTTTTTTCGAATGTGGATTTTTGTCCTTATCAGCCCATTCATGGAGGTTGTGGAAGTTAGTAATTCCTTTCCTAGAGAACTTTGATTCGTCAGTCCTGAGGATGGACTCTAAGAACCACGTGTCGTCAATATCTGCGTTTAGCAGAAAACGGCAAAACTGCATCCTTCTAGCCGGATCCCCTTCCTCCAAGCCTTGTACGCCTGTTCCATGAAACGGATATTTATGTTCGTTGTGCAACACTTTCCATATCGAAAGGTTAAAGTCTCGCTACAGCTCTGACACTGGTAGTAGGATCCGCTTCGAAGGCTGCGAAAATTTGCTCCTCAAGATTGGCGTTATATCTTCCTGCAGTTACTCCAGGTTCAGCATGATGAATACCAGATTCAGAAAGTCTGCGATATGTGTTGTAAAAAACACGGACGTTAGGTACCCTGCAATAAAATAAAAAAAGACATTTTTAACGTTCGTTGAAAGTTAAAATGGTAAAATGGAACAACTACTAGTATACAACTACTTCTATATATACAGTACATGTCGAAATTACCATTTTTATCATTTAGGGTAGCGCTAAAGCCGAACTTATTAGCTTAGTTATGGGATATTGCCAAAAAATTGAATTTTTTTAATTAACGTATTTATTAAAGCGGATGCTCGAATTGTTTCCCTCTAGTTCGAACACATAGTCTACATCTCCTGATAAAATTATTTTTTAACCCTTCGGCAACCTTCAGCCTAAACTGGCGGTGGGAGTACATGTGATACATGGGGTCCCGCAAATAAATAATGAAAGCGTTTAGAAGACTGGTGTTTAACAGCCTTTTAAACACTTATGTATCATTTCTGGTTTCTTTTGCGTTATAATAATGTTACGCGCTCCAGTCAACGATACACTAGCGCCATCTAGTGTCAGGAACGAGAGCGAGGGGAGCATTGAGAAAATGACATCACAAATTACTCAACCGACAGCGCCTAGTCGAAACTCGAACGCTCGGTACCTTCCGCGTGTTTACTTGAACATTCTGGATATTTCTTTGCTAAATTAAATATATAGGCGCTGCAAGATGCGAAGTAGCAGTGTTGATTTGGGCGAAACAAGCGAAGCTTCGGAGTGGAATTAAGTGAATTAGTGTGTTTAAATTATTAGTGTTTTAACTCTAATTGTGTAAAGTAAATTAAAGTGTTAATTTAGGTAATTTTATCGGCAATTTTTATTGTCACGAACCTCAAGCTCGTAACAATTGGTGTCAGAAGTGGGATAAAATCATGCCGATTTTACCTAAGGAGGAAACGGAGGGTGTCCGTACCCGAAATCAACGCCAGCAGGAGACGGACCAAAGAAGATTTGGTGGTGCAACGCCGCTGACGTCGGAGGGCCAGCCGCCGGCTGCAGGCCCGTCAGTGGCTCCTCCATCTGCAGCACCCGATTTAGGTGCTCTGATGGTGATGCTGCAGGAACAGGCTCGCCGACAGGAGGAACAGGTCCGTCGGTTGGAGGAGCAGCTGCGGGGTGGCCAGGATGAACAGGCTCGTCAGCAGGCGGAACAGGTCCGTCAGTTGAAAGAGCAGCTGCAGAGCGGACAAGAGGAACAGGCCCGCCGACAGGAGGAACAGATGCTTCTCATGAAGGACCTTCACGCTACCTTCGGGAAAGAGATAAGGGAGGTGAAAGATAAGATTGCTCAACATGAAAACCGCCTGTCGGAAGCTGAAACCCGAATTGACCTAGTGAACAATCGGGTTGACAACGTAATGGCTGACATGAGGAAATCACTTGACGAACTCAAACTTGGCGAGGGAACTTCAGTTCCCGTAGTAGCTACTACACCTTCGCTACGTGGGTTCAAGGTGCCACCATTCGACGGGACTTCTTCCTGGTCAGCCTACAAAATCCAGTTCGAGGCTGTTATGAAGGCGAACGGCTGGAATAAAAGTCAGGCCATGACTGCTCTCACACTAGGCCTGCGCGACCAGGCCTTAACAGTTCTGGAAGCTCTCGGTGAGGAAGTGACTTATGAGCAACTCCTTGAGGCATTGGAGGCGAGATATGGCGACGCTCACCTGGAACACGTCTTTCGTGCGCAGCTTAAAGATCGTGTGCAGCGCATCAACGAAAACCTGCAGCAGTGGGCTCTAGAAGTGGAGAAGCTGGTGCGAAAAGCATACCGGTCTGTACCTGCGCTCATTGAAGGGAACCTGGTGCAGACATTCAGCGACGGCATCCGCGACCTGGAAGTCAGAGCTGCTGTGAGGCTCGGGCACCACGAGACGCTTAAGAACGCCTTGGCCCATGCACTGGAGGTAGAAGCCGTGCGGCAGGATCATCGTTCCCATCGCGTCAGGGAGGTTGCAGCAGCTACAGTTCGCGACCGCAACAAAGGATACAGCCCTAGGTGCTATGGCTGTGGGGAAAAGGGCCAATCAAATGATTGGAGATAATGCCCATCCACACATTCACGCTGAATCTTCGTTGGGACCCCTTCACTCTTTTCTTATTGGGATTCCTTAGTACTTTTGGGGCCCAGTAATGGGCGTTGTGATAGTTAGTTATGCCATCTTTATCAAATTTGGACTCATCCGTCCACAAGATATTTCTTAGAAAATCTGGGTCTTCTACGTCAGCATTTAGCATAAACCTGCAAAAGTCCAATCTTCTCGCGGGGTCTCCTTCTTCAATAACGTGTACCGGCGTGTAATGGTACGGGTATAGGCCAGCAGTATGCACCGTAAACCACAGTCGGATCCGCTCGAAAGCGTTGCACTATCTCATTGTCCTGTTCTTCGTCGTCAATTCGTGGTCTTCCCATGTCTGTATTTCGTCTCAAAACTGAGCCAGTTTCTCGAAGTCTTCGATAAACTCTTTTAAAAACCGCCACATCCGGCACTCGACGACCGGGGTAGCGAGTTATGTATTCGTTGCGAGCTTGCGCAGACACACAATCGCAGTATCCGTAACAAATAAGCATATCAGCATATTCCTCAGATGTGTAGGACGTCATCTTCAACACTTCCGTATCACAGGTACAAATCAGAGTCTGGTTAACAAGCACAGTAGTCACAAATCAGAGGAAATAGTCTAGAATCGCAGCCAAGTCGAGAAAAAGAGCAAAACGATATCGCATCTACTATGTACGAAGCACAAAAGCAGTTTCTTCTATCCTGTCGATCACTATAGCGACTTCTGGAACACTCCGGAGAGAGGCGGTGCGCGACGATATCTCACACGAGGTGAGGCGGGTTCCTGGAGCTCGACTGCTTCCAGGCCAAAGCGTTTTCCACTAGTGAGGTGTTTCCAAACGAGCGCGCGGGAAGAGGAAGAGCGCGCGTCGGTCGCGCGTGTCTTATATATCCTCGGCTCCGATGATTACGCGATGTTCTAGAATCGTTTTCTTTCCCCTCCCACCCCATCACCCCGATGTGTCGATAGGAGGGTACGAATGATATCGTTTTGGAAAGGAATAATGATTCAGCAATTTCCTACCGTCATAAATAAAACGCGAATGGTTTTCCGCGCAACCATCTCCCCCGCCCTTGAAGGATTTCCTTCAAAAAATAACTAAACAACTAGAGCTAAGATCAACTAACAAATAACTAACTAACGCTAAGATTACCTAAATTCAACTACAATTTTAATCTAGAAATCTAATTTAAATTATGGAAGAGGCAAGGGGCACAAACGGACAACAGGACGTAGGTAAGACCCAACCGTGGTCTTAACGCGAGCTATCCTAATTACTCCGTCGGAACCGGGAAAGACCTCCTCGACGATTCCTAACGGCCAGTGGAGAGGCGGCGTATTCTCCTTAGTGAGCACAACTACAGTTCCTACCGCTAAA